TCAGTATTCCATGCAAGCAGCCAGCAAGGAACTACTGCTTATAGATGTGTGCCTGAAGCTTTTCCCTCTCTTGAGCTTGTTCAAAAATTGATCTTTGAAGAATAGCAGTCCTTTAAAAATGGAGCTGCTGATAAGTACTTAGAAGATTCTTCAGCATGTGGAAAAGTGAGATTTGCATCCCTGCTTGGCAAAAGGGCAGTCAAACTTCAGTTTCTCCCTTTTCTGAAAGCTGTCCCAACTACTAAGTAGCAGTCTCCTCTCACTGAGAGGGAAAGAGGAATATTTGTTAGCCAAGAGAGACTTGGAGCTTAACAGCTAGAGCACTCCCCCGTGGGTGGGAAACACTGGGTTCTGGTGACTGCTCCAAGTGCTGTTATGCACAGTACATTCAATAGTTATTACATAAGCTAAATAAGTGGTATTTGAGGCTGAGACAGAGTTCAGTGGCTCACCTCTCTCAAATGAATGCCTCAGTCTTCAGGTTTAAAGGCAAGTCCCATTCTTTCTGAAGGTCAATGGCTCTTGAAGGCCTTTCTGTGAACTAAAGAAAGTTCACAGGAAGATCAAAGAATGTTTCCTTCTACAGGCTTATGGAGTGAGGTCATAATTTCAAAGTGGGCTTGACAAGCATATACTTGAGTCCCTCTGTGCCAGAAAGGGGTTTGAGCCTGAATTTCCCACATTTAAGCCCAAAGCACCCACATTCCCACATAAGATCTCACTGGCAAACTGCTGGATAAAACTGATGAGGTTGAAAAGATGATGGTACCCCTTTAAAGGAGATGTTCTAATAAAGTCTCTGAAGGGATAAGAACTATTTCAAAACCCTATTATTTCATTCAGTTTGATAAAATACAGTTGTTCCATAAAAATCAAACTCTGGCAACACTGAGGAAAGGAAAACCATAGTGAATTGGTGTTTTATGTTAAAAATACTTTTAAAAAATGTACTTCAGATGAAAACATGAACTAATTAAAGTTTCCTAGAATATACTGTAAGTACAGCATGGATCCTGGTGGGGTTAAATGAGTATTCAATCTTAGCTGCAGTAGCCAAATAAATGTTAAATTTAACAACAGGTTTGGAGTAGGAAGAAGTCTAAATAGCCCTGAGTTCCAGGGAATTTAGAGAACCCAACCCATGTTTGGAAATTGATGCCCAACCTCTTTGCTCACAGGGCAGAGGGTTAAATAAAAGTTGTGTCAGTTCTTGTGTATGCAACATTTTGTGACTGTGCAGCATCTCCTGGCTGACGAAATGCAGTTGCATCACCTCCCAGGTATAAATCATCTGTTGCTTCTTATTGCAGTGCAATAAGGAGTTCCCTTTGCTTCTGAAATGGGAACAGTTTATTGCAGGGCCAGTGCACAGTGAAGGAAGAAGAGAGGAAGGGAGAAAAAAGGTAGTAGGAAGTACTTCAGTCCCAAACAGTGGGTGATCAGAGATAGCTCTGCAACAGGAGGAGGCATTTGGACATGCTTAGTTAAACCTCAAGAGTTTCTAGGTCTGCAGTCTAGACATCTCATTGCATCTTCACAGGGCTCTTGTGCTTCCATGATCAGAGCTAATCTGCTTCCAGAGGCCAACCTGTGGCCAACCAAGCTGTAGCACTTAATAAAAGCTGGAAAAGGAAGCAGAAGCTCCCTCCTGCCTCGGTGGGACAGAGGACTGGGGTTGACCCAGGATACAACCTGCCACTTTGCAGAGGCCTTTTCACACAGGCGTCTCATTTCTTACCATCTGAAATGCACAGTTTTCCCATTTACACAGAGCTGCAACACAAAGATACAACTTTAGAGCTATTAAGTTGAAGCATTACATATTCAGACATCTACAGGTAATACAAAAGTGTGAATGAAAATCAGTAAATTGAACATGATAATGGAAACCTCTTCTTCATTATGAACCTGCAGGAGACACAGCTACCAGGGGAGATAAAAGCATTGGTCCTAAAGCACCTGTCTGTAACTGTGCTGATGAAATAACTGACAACAGAACATTCTTTTCTACTCCTGTACCAGGAATTTAATCGAGCTTAATGCAAGACTACAGACATTGAGGATATTGTAAAACATGCAAACTGTTTGGGATTCAAGGACAGAAGTTTTCCCCATAGTTGACAGGTAAGAATTTCATGGCACTGCTCCTTTTATGACTTTACGGGTACTCGTTGTTATCAGTTTGTAACACTCCACAGCTGTGTGAAGAAGATTGCAGAAGTACTGGAGGGGGGAGCTTTACTGTTTTACATCTGGGAAATGCAGCCTTTAGAAGGAAATGCATCTATCTATTGTACAGATCAAAAAGATGAATGAAAGAGATTTTCTAATTACTTTCAGTTCTGTTTCCTTTGGCTGGAATTTCTGTTTTCCCCAGACAATCATGTGTCCAGCCAGAATCCAGGGTAGTACAATGACATTTATAAGAAACAGAAGGGAAAGTAGACACAAGCAAAAGGGATGTTCACCAAACACTGCCAGCTTTGAGTAAAATGTGGCACTATTTAAATGAGCACTCCTGTGACTGTAAACTTGAGAGATTTTCTTAACAAGCACTGTTCCTCCCAGCCTTGCTTTTGCAAGTCACTAGTGACCATTACTCAGGCTGATACTAAAGGAGTCCTAAAATGTGTAGCATTTTTCAGAAGGCACTGTAGACCCTTCAGAAGAGGGAATACACCCTTCAGTCAGAAGAATCGGTGATTGATTCAGAGCAGTGCTGGTTTTACAAGCAGCATGTACTGTTATTTAACTGGGCCAAGCCAAAGTATTTTGTGAACTCTATCCACATTGTGCTGCTAAATCTAACCCAGATGTCTGAATGTTTAATTTTACTGGGCAGGGAGGAGCAGTGGAAGTGGAGAATGACTGGGGACAGCCCAGTTGCATTTGACAAATGTCTGCACTAAGCTATTTATTCCTTCATCAGTTTGGTTAACTGTTGCTGACCAACCTGGATGGAGGTAAAAAAAAAGGGGCCTGGAGAATACTTTTGCTATTGCTCAGATATTCACCCAAGTATTTGATTTGGCAGAAATGAGTGTAAAGCAGATTGCATTAAATGACAGCACAAATGCAATACTGACTGTGCTTCAGCTTCCTTAGCTGCACTGCTGAGTGCTGGAAGCTCTTGTGGTCTGCAGTGGACTGACACACCACTGAGTTCCCAGCAAAGGAAGAGCCAGAGGTACCAGGATGCAAATAAATCAGTGGCCTGTGTCAAACAGTGGGGTCAACTGTTTGGTTCTTCCTCTGCCTTAAAATCTATGAAAACAACAAAAATGAAAATAGCCACACCTGTTAGGGTTATTAGTAGTTACGGTCTTATCTTTATAAGAGACTAGATAATACAAAGGAAATTAGAGATATCTGTAGGTAAGAAAAAGAAACTGGTATGTGCCTTTCACTTTCATCCTGTATGATTTCTCATAAATGAAGCTGTAACCGGCAGCGGAGCCCAAGGACTCTGATGAGCTTTGCCTTGCAAATCTGAGGTTGTGTGCTGCCCTTTTCCATTCTAAAGTGTCTATTGTCTGAAATTCATATTGGTTCGAACTGCAGCAGAGCTACAGCTCTTCAAATGCTCCTGTGCAAAGCTTGAAATGACTTGAATGTAAGTGCTTGATGTTTGGAACATCCAAATTCCAAAGGTGAAACCAAAAACGTGCACATGTTGTCCTGCCAGCTCTGCACAGCCTATCTGTGCTGTGTGATGTTTGCATGAATATTAGGCACCATCTGCACTGAACTGATGTCTCCTACTTGGCTCTTAAAGTATTGACAGTTTCTATTTTGAACAAACAAGCGCTGATGGCTTTTGCAATAGAGAGCACTACTGCAAGTCTGGTTTTGTGGGCTTGTCAGGTTTTGGAAATTAGGTGTACTGGGTTTGCATTTATCATTCATTGCTGCTTCTCATGACAAGCTGAAAGCTTGTACATTTTTGGCTTCAATATTTTTTAATCCCCAAAGAGTCACTTTTTGATTGTATTTGAATTTCAAGTCTCAGTTTTGCTGCTTAGTTTGGAGGGCTGCCCTATATAGAGCTACATTTAGAAACAATCATTGTTTTGCACAACCATGTACCTTTTAGCCATCTACAGAAAGTCAAATATATATCTGACTGATAAGTCTAACACTGATAAGTGAACACATTCAGGTTCATAAGTGTTCATATAGTTGGCTCACTGCAGTCTTCTCACACTACTAGTTCAGTAGAAAGGCCAGGTTATTTTAATATTTTTCTTGAAGTAGGTCCTTTTCACAATTTCTTTGTATGTTGGTCTGGTTCATATTATTTTGCTGTTTAGGTCTAAAGTCTCACTGGAATGAGGTGATTAAAATCTTGGAGCACCAGTAGGTATATTTAATTTAACAATAACATGAGGTGTTCATGGACCAATTGTCAGTGACAGCAGTTCAAGACATCTAATGCCATCAATAAAAGTCTGACCTTCATCCCATCAAACTGATATTTGACCCAGCATATTCTGGGCTGAGTGGAAAGAGATGGGTCTTAATTAGAGAACTTCAACATGGTGCTTAATATAAGGTGCTGTACAGACTGTAAGATTAAAATGACTTAAATCAAGAGGTGGAGGCAGTCTGTGACATTTTAATGTCAAATTATATTTTAAAATGTGGCATTTCCATATGGGTCACAGAGGTTTTTCTAAGATGAACTGATGATATGCCTCCCCATTGGTTCATGCAATCTTGTGTCTTTTGATTATTTTAAGAAATTAAAGAAGCCTGAGAATGTGAAAACATGCTTCAGCAATTATACACTGAGTGTTCTGATTTAGGAAGAACTCTGTGACTTTACTTGACACTTTATATCTTCTCTTAGACCTATGAAAATAGGCCCTGTATAGCCCATACACTAATGTGACTTTAACCCAAAATTACCTTTCCAACATTCGTTCATTCATTCTTTCATTCATTCATTCATGCCAGTAGTTGGGGGAGCAGGCTGCTATTTGTAGGGGGATGGCAATAAATCCAGGCCTGTAACTACTTCTGGTTTTGAACCTTGCTTTACAGAATGCTCACCATGATGTAAGAAACTGAGAACTCAAGCTTCTTTAGGTTCCAGTCCACCTAAGTACATAAAAACATGTAAGTGCTATTACTGAGCAGCTTTAAACAAAAGTTTCTCTGCTGTTGATTTCCTCTTTATATTGTTTCTGCTTTTTCAGTCATTCAGCTGTTTGTCCTGAATTCACACTCGGGGTCCCCCCTAGAGCAGCTCAAGGCCAGCTGTGCCTTCAGCTGGGGTTTTTGCTTTTGCTTTCTGAAGTACCAATACCAGATCCTTCCCGCTCAGCCCTTGGCAGTTCCTCTTTTCAAGGCCATTTCTGCTCTTCGTCCGATATTACTGCCAGCACAGGTGAGTCAGGGGATCACTGCTCTATCCAGTTTCTGAAGAGGATGCAGGGCTGTTAGTGACCTGTGTCCAGTCTAGGATCCTTTTTATCTGCACCCCTGGACAAAGCTATAGTCACATGGAAAATAAATGCAGCCATTTCACATGGAGATTCCCTGATCTCAGAGCAAAATTTGATTAGTTGAGGACAGTCCCCACGTACACGTCCTAAGTGATACTTATGGGAATACAAGTAACAGAACTGGCTAAAGCACAGGGCAATTCACTTTTCACACGAATTGTCAGTGATTATAAAGGAGCTGACAGTCTCCTTGGCTGTGTGACCTACAGCCACTACCAAACCTGCCAAATACCTGTCTCCTGAAGACTCTGCAAAATAGTACCTCCCACAGCAACAGAGGTGTGGGCTTTCTCCTCTCTGGCTCCCTGTAACTCTTGGAGGCTCACCTCAGACTTTCATATTTAAGTAGCTTGATGTTAATCTTAAACTTCCAAAAGATTTTTCCTGAATTAATGCAGGTGTGTGCAGGCTTGAAATACCTGAGTCATTATATTTAAACTCTAAACACCTTTTAATCCTGTTCTAACATTTTATTAATTTGAAATTACCTTGGTTGGTGGTGGTGTAGCTGTGATGCTTTCAGTTTAAACAAGATCAGCTTTGTAGGGAGAAATGGTCTCTTTGACTGGACCTCAGAAAATCTTGCCTGCTTAAAATTTGACTATTAGTAAATGCCTCTCCCTACTAAGTACCAGAAAATTGTTTAATGAGTCTTTGAAGAGGCCTTGAACACTGCAGAATCCTGGCAATGACTGTAGCTTCTCAGTCTTACTAACTTCTGCATATATTTCTAATATTTGGCACCTCAGATTTTAAGATTTTGAAAGTAAAAGGTTACTTCTCTTTGGGAAAATTGTTCTGCTCTCATATCACTGGATGAACTGGATGCTGAGGATGCTAATTGGAGTGTATTTGTGCAGAGGCAGCAGCTGTCAAGGGAAGGCACTGTGATCTGTATTCCCCAACAGTACTTAGAGGGACTCTTCAATTCTTTTATGAAGTGAAATGAAGCAGCAAGGCTGAACAAATGAAATCTTCTAACAACTGGCTTCACTTCAGTCAGGATGAAGATCTAACGCTTTGGATGCCATTCATATTTCCTGTCCAAAAAGATTTCTTTTTTTCCTTGAGGAGGAGTTTGAGTAAGCCCATCTGGAAGCCAGCTTTGCAGACTCCCAGAGCAGCAAGCAATACTGGCAAAGACTATGATTAATTCTTTTTTTTTTCCCCTTTAATCATGTCATAGTCCTATTCCATAGAACACCAAATGATTTTGGTTCCACACCAGCATATTTATACCATGGAAAGAAGCAAACAGGTGACATCCACTTCTGCAGAACACAACTGCAGCTCTCTAAGCATTTCCTCTGAGTATTCTTTGTAAGTGAAATGAGTCAGCGAAGTGGGAGAGCAATGCTCTGTGTTCATAGCCTGCATGCTCCCCTCAGCAGGGGCGTGTGGTGAGTGACAGGAACTGGTTAAGTTTGCGTGACGGTGAGAGGAATGAAATAATTTCTCATGCTAAGGCTGGCTGTACAAGCTGAGGTTTCCACCCTCTCTGAGGAGATGATGTTTTTCTCTGCCATGCACTGGGTGCAGCTGTCAGCTCCTGGCAGCTGCAGGAAGGCTCTTGCCATAATCCTCCGCCGATTCCACTAAACATAAGCTAACATGCAATGTATAGCATCTGTATTAAGTTCTTAAGTAGGATTTGCCACAAAAGTTATGTTAATTCATCTTATCTTAGCGTGACTCTCGTGCAGTTTGGGCTGGAAGACTCTATGGGAGAAGCCAGACTCTTGTTGTTGAAAGTAGTGGGATTAGGACGTCTAGTGCTCACATTCACCTGCCTTTTCCAAGTCACTTCTAAAATGCCACTTATTCAGAGCTCCCTGCTAACTAAAACTTTGGCAGCTTAAATCTGGAGTTTTCCTCTTTCAGCAGATGACTTTACTGGCTCCAGGTCTTTTGAAATTCCTGAACAAACACAATTTAGTATCCATACTGCCAGACTGATCAGTCCCAAAGCATAAATTACAAGCAGCTGAAGCTCAGGTTAAGGACGTAAATATGACTGACTTCCAACCCATATATTCCAACTCACTGATCTGTAATTTCAAATAATTAATTAAATTCACTGATGATGTGATAGGTAGTCTGAAAAAAACACCTTGAAGGATGAAGGTGGTTTTGCAGATTTCAGTCAGCATGTCCACATTGCATCTTTTATGCAGTGCAAAACAAACACCAGGAACAACTGAATTTTATACTCTTGTGTTTGTTTTATATAGTTCTGTTTGCAAAATAAGAAAATAGATCTAAATTATGATGGATCTTCTAAAGTTGAAACCTGATACTTGTCTGAGCTAAAAGCTGCCCTTCAGTGAATTTTCATAGGAATACCAGGGAAAGGAAGACAGACCTCTCCATTACAGAGTAATGCATTAGTACAAAGTACAAATCTTAAAAACAACCTCAAAACCCTAAAACTTTGTTTGAAACATAGTGACTTCTCAGTACTAGGAAAGTGAAACAGAAATAAAATTGAAGAACTTTTTCTGTACACATTGATCCTTAGACTGGGGTGGAAATATTTTTTAAAACTCTTTTGGGTAGGGTGAAAGGCTGTAAGAGATCAGAACTTCTGGCCAAAGGAAAGGAGGATTTTTGTGCTTGTGTATTCAGCCTTTTACCAAAATTAGAGAGTGAAGCAGAGAATTGCTTCCATTTTAAGTAGTAGGGAGTTTCTTTCAAGTAAGAGCATGGAAAGGTCTGAATAGAAAATTTCTAGTTGCTACTTCTTTGGAAATCTCTTTTCATGGAGATCTGGGGTCAAATTCTTTTCTAAGGTCTCTTGGCACCATACCAATAAAACAGTGCCAGTGTAATTCAGGGAGCCCTGGCTCCTGCTATATTATCTAGGTGTAGTTTACCCTTTCTATTTTACTCATACTGTGACCATCTCACATGCATGTCAGCGTGAGGAATTATGTCCTTGAAGATTGCTTTGAAGAAAGGTGCCCACTGTAGTAGCAGGCAGAAGAAGATTGATTCCTTCCTTCTAATCTGTGCAAACCAAGACTCTGTCTCACCCAGAGCACTCTCAGGAAATCTGCTCATGTTTAACCCGCTGTAATTTACAGCCTGTCAGGCACCAACTCACTGCCTTTTCTAACTGTGTGTTGAGCTTCCTCTGCTCCCCTTAAATCAGAGGATTATTACTGGGGGGTCACCTCCAGAAACCAGTCTGTTGAGGCATCAGACTTTCCTTGCAGCTTCAGAATGTGTCTCTGTGCTTGGTTGAGACAGTTCTTTGGTAAGGGCTTTGCAGATAATTCAGTGTAAGTTTGCATTTTACTGAAAGACAAGGATTTTCTGCTTTGGGAAAACAAATGCATTTCTTGATGCAGAATGCCAGCGCTTCTGCCCTTCTTATAACACAGTTTCTAGAAGGCATATCTTTTAAAAGGGACCTTTTAGTCTCTCTGAAGATTCCACTCCTGTAGGGGTCTTGCCTTCATCTGTAGATTTAATGGCTTAATAAGCATTAGACCCTCCTATTATGCAGTAACAAATAGGAATACAATACTTTTATCAATATTTGGCACAATTAATTTTTTTTTATGTGAAACTAAATATTGATGTTGTCAAGTGACTGCAGCTCAGGGACATAAATTACAAGTATTCTTCTCCTATGAGCCTTGCTCAAATTTTGCATTCATATACAGTAACCATCTAATGTCTTTCTATTCCTGTAAGCCATATGATTTGATTGCCAGATTACATGGTTCTGTATTGTGCTTTGATGTCAGTGTTTTTATTGTTATTACCAATAATATCTTTTATTCTTACTGTAAGTGGTAACAAAAAGTTAACTGCTTCCTTACACTATAAAAAGAATAAAGTCCCATTTACAGAATGTCTCTAAACAGAAAATATCTCTGGAAAAAAAGATATACGAATAAATAATTCACAACATCATGGGTGAGTAGAAAAGAAGGTTTTTGATGTATTTTGCTACTCAAAACAAAACCAGACTTTTTAAATAAAGTAACTGGCTATTTTAGTGGAGAACAAAAGCTCTTTTAAAGAGTAATGATTGCAGGGGAGCCAGTTCTCTCTGCATTTTTATCCATTCTGCACTTTTGTTGGTAACAGGACTTGTGAAATTGATTAATCCATCCCCTTGGGTTTCCCAATTCTTTTGTTCCATCCTCCCGTTTTTGCATTAGTTTATTTCTTGGCTTCTTTCCTAAAGAAAATGTCAACCCACCCCCCCACCCAAAAGAAACCATAACATTTCAAGGATTTCAGGGTGCGGCAAAGCGAATTAGCCTGTCTGTAATATAAACAGACAGCAAATGAATTCTTAAAGGCCTTGGAATTAAAGTCTCCCATCTTAAACTCCCCCACACTTTCAGTTCGTTTTTCTCCGGATTTCCACAGAAGTGGAACAAGTATACAATAAAAAGTTATCCTTGGGAAAATCAGCACGGGCATTTTCCTGTATTCCCATGGAAGCAGAGGGGCTCCATCAACTCAACAGTGAACATCGAGCGGCCCTTCCTTGCCGGGCAGCGACAAAACCCCCGGCACGGCTCGGGGGGTCTCACACCGGCTGGGGGCAAAGAGCAGAGCCGGGTCTGCAGGGCGGGGCTGTCACAGGAAAGCATTGCATCAGATTTTTGCATTAGTTTTAGCACGGTAAGGAGCCGATCCCGAGCCGAACTCAGGTAAAGCGAGGGCCAGCCAGGCGCCGGGTCGCCATCCCGGTGTGGGGGTGCCGGCTGGGCACACGGTGCAGCCGCCGGGCAGCCGAGCCCGCCGAGGCCAGTGAGAACCAGCTGGGTCCCGCGATTAGCGCCAGGCACGGCTGTGTGCGAACAGCATCCCTCGCACACCTCAGCCCGTTAACACAGCGCTGCGCCCGCCCTCAGGCGCCGCCGGGGCCGGCCCTGCGCTGCCCGCCCTTCGGTCCCTCGGCGGCTGCGCGCCCTGGGCCGCCGCCCCTGAGCCCCGAGCATGGCCGGGGAGGCGGCGGGCCCGCCGGTGAAGGTGCTGTCGGCCCAGCTGCGGCGGGCGGAGCGGGGCGCGGGCGGGACGTGGCTGCTGTGGCGGGCGGGCCGGGCGCCGCTGGCGCTGCGGGCCGTGTGGATGCAGGGCACGGTGCTGGAGGTGCAGCGCGGAGCCCGCGGCGGCTCGGCCCGGCTGCGGGACGGCACCGGCGCCTTCACCGTGCTGGGCGTGGAGCAGGTGCCGCAGGGCCGGCCGTGCCTCAGCGCAGGTACCGGGGGCGGCGGGAACACCCCCCCCGAGCGGCGCTTTCCCTGCCCGGGCCTGCGCCAGCCGAGCCCGGCACATCCCGGCCCCTGGGAGGTGTCGCTCACCTCGCGGGACCCCAGGAAACAAGGACAGGAATTCCTTCCCCCCCCCCTCCCTCCCCCATTTTTCTTTCTTCTGCCCCTCTCGAGTAGCGTCAGTTCCACTGGTGAAGTGTTGGGACTTCAGCGCCGCAGGAGTTGTGGCACAAAACAGGCACTTGGCGTAAATTTTCAGTCTTCTCGATTGCCCTCCGCCCACTTATGCACTAGAGGGACACATTGTGTGCTTGTTTGGCTTCTGTTGTACATGAAAATCCACTCAAATCTACTGTAAAAGTGGCTTTACAGATAATGAGGCCTTTTTTTCCTAAAATTTAGTTCTAGGCAGTCTTCATCATGCCTTGAGTTTTCTTGCAAGTATCAGCAGCGTCAGTTCACAGTGTTTAACTCTCTTGAAATAATTTGTGTTATGAATTAAAATGAAAATGCAAAGGTTAATTAAATTTCGCGCTTGCTTGTTTTTTAGGGAAGTATGTAATGGTGATGGGTGTGGTGCGGTCCTGCAGTCCTGAGCCTGTTCTTCGAGCAATAAAGATGACAGATCTCTCTGAAAACCCCGTACATAAGGATATGTGGAGCCTTGAAGTGGAAGATTTGCAGAGAGTCATCCCCTAGATACTGTTTCTTCTGCCTGAAATAACTGGAAATGTACTTTCTTGGTGTAGAACATCAGACTTTTCTGGGTGTTTGTGGTTTCAGCCAGCCACCAGTTACTCTTGCAGTAAACAAAAGTGAAAAGTTAGACTTGGAGTCAAGTGTAGGGATCAGTGCTTATCTGATAATAACTGCAATGTTCATGTCTTCCACCGTTCCTTTTTACACCAACAGATTTGAGAAACACCTGTTTGATGTTTGGAGCAAGATGTCCATGCTGTTGGGAATGCTCCATGTTTCTGTGTTTGTTGCTTCTAGGAGCATGTGTTGAGGGAGTCATTCCTGCAGCGGGGTGGGTGTTCTTGGCAACAAGGGCTGCAAAGAACTCGTGTTACCAGGGTGAACTCAGTACCTGGAACAAAGGCAAAATGTGTGTCAGTCTATTTCGGTTGTGGTTGGAAATAACACCTTTGCCTGTATTTTCTCTTTCAGTAATGACCATGTCAGTAAACTCCACTTGTAAGACAGATGTCTCTTGGTAACCATAAAGCAGAGTCTTGTACTTAAAAACCTCTCTGGTTTCTGAAATACTGAAAGTGGTACATAATGACCCCTGTGTTCCACTGAAGTGAAATAAACTGAAAAGGCATGATGCAGGATTCCCTGGGATACGTTCTCCAAGATGCAAATACTTGTATGACATCAAAAAGCCTTTAAAAAGAAGAAATGTTACTGCTATTTATTTTCCCTCTCGTCTAAAGAGAGCTTGAATTCTGAAGAGTATATTGCATTATCTGTGTGGAATAGCTTTGTGTTTTGGGACTGTGTTGTCCAGGAATATAGCTATGTTAATTGGGAATGCATGTAGGAAGAGAAGGTGATTTTTTTTTATTGAACACTCTACAATTTAAGATGAGAATCAAGGGATAATAACTGAATTTTTTAACTGTGAGGTTATGTTTTCAAAGCATGTGGAAATTAAATAGTGTCCTTTACAGATTTGAGATCTTTGCAGATGAAGGACTGAGTTTCAGAGTGCAATTCCCAGCCTTGAGTTTGGTATTCCAAGCCAGACCACATCAGAGACAGTAGGATAATGGAAGTCCTGTGCTCTGAGGCCCTGCTCATGTAATACCAAAATACACAGAGATACAGAATTTTGATAGCCTGGGTTTATTTACTGCTTTTAATCCTGGAAAAAAAAATTAACTTGTGGAATGCTGCAACCTTTCAGAAATGATCCACATGGTCAGCATGCTGACTGGCAACTGTTCTTACCTGAGGATAGTTTTCCATCTGAATGCTTCTTATGCCAGGAATCTGTAGTTTGTTCCAAATATGTTTACCTTGTTATGCTTTCTAACCAGGCAGTAAAACCCTGGTAATAAAGAGCTAAAGCCCTGGAAATGAACAGTTAAAACTCCTGCACCCTTGCCAGCATCAGTGAATTTACAGCAGAATTAAAGCATGCCTTGCCATCTGGCAGTGATGCATATTTACGGAATGCATTTGAAGAGTTGTGTTGATGTAGGGTTGGATTGTATTTAGGGAGGGCTGGATCGGATCTAGACATGAAAGGCATAACCTGAGGACAGCTCAGAGATAACCAGCAACAGCTGAGGGCAGTGCCTGTAGTTTAAAATGTTTATTCCGTGTGAAATGGCATGTTTATCTATGGTGATAAGTTAAATGCAGCTTGTAGGAGACCTGGTGTCTGCATCCAGCTCGATCTGTCAGACATCCAACTGCTGTCTGCAGTTAACATTTAGTTAAACTTCTCTTTATTGCTGACTGAGCTTTTCTGAATCTTTTCCTCTACGTGCTTTGTCTTACTTCGTTCTTGCAACTGTCACCTCAGGATTTTTTCAAAGGTACTCGGTGTGCTTAGCTGGGGAGTGAAATGACATTCAGTGACTGGGGAGCAGATGATGCATTTTTTTGAATGACTAACTGCTATAAATACTCTTTAACTTCCAGAAATATTTCATACAATTTTGGCTTCATTACAGAACACCTCCGTAAGGGTGCAGTTATAAAATTACTACAGAGGAAGACTTGATTTCTGTTTTTATACAGCAGCATCTGATGTGTGTGGCAATCCTAACAAGTGCAGGGTTTTTCCAGACTAGTGTGGGGATCATGTTTTATTTAGAATTTGTATCACACTGGGGAGTCAAGTGGTCAGGAAGAGAGTGTGGCTGAAAGCAGCATCCACGAGGTAAGAGAGGCCAGTGCTGGGTTTGTCTGCGAGCCATTCAAACCCAGCCAGTTCCAGCTCTGTAGATCAGTACAGGTTTATATTCTTATGAATAATCAATAAAAATGTACTCCAGCAATATTAAGGAAGTCAAATGTTTATTAGCATTATCTCCTAGTTCAGAACCCCATTATTTCAATGTTTGCATGTTATGGAAAGGCATGGGAAGGATTTTGCAGTGTTAACATTCTGCTGAAGAATAGCTGCCTTCCAGGTACTGTGTGCAGAAAGGTAATGCATTTCTTTAATCATTAGACTTAAAATATAGAAAGTGATTTCACAGATAAGACACTTTCACACAACAGTAGCTATAACACCTTAAGGCTACTTCATGGGCAGGATAGGTATCAGTCACCCTTTCCCAACACATCAAGTGATTTCTGAGAAAGGGGTTCTAAAGGCACAAAGGGAGGAGGTAGAACTGGTACACAGATACCAAGAAGGGTGTTTCTCATTTAACAGCGTACACATTAGTAAGGGAAACATCAACCAGCGTGAAAACGAGAAAATTGTTAAGTGCTTTCAATTATTTAACCATCTTATTTCTACTGTAGCTCTTGTGTGTTGAAGCACTTCCCTGGAAAAAAAAAAAAAAAAAAAAAAAAAAAAAAAAAAAAAAAAAAAAAAAAAAAAAAAAAAAAAAAAAAAAAAAAAAAAAAAAAGATAACTTTGTCCAGAACCACTGAACAGCAGAGTTTCATTTCTGGAGAAAAAAGAAGTCATCATCTGTGCTGACTCAAAGCTGATAATGCTGCTTTCACAAAGTATTCCACCTATACTGATCTGAGCTGGAAGACACCTCTTGTCAGCTTTTGTATTTGTGCTATGATTCAAGGCTTGTGGAGACACAATTCTGCCACTGAATGGGAGAATTCTTTTAAAGTAACTGATACTACTATGTTCAATTTCTTATGGTTGATTATAGTTTCTTGTCAGTATACTGAAATAATCTGTCTTGCCCTCAGCGGTTCTGGGTGGAAAGCTTTCCTGTTATACTATATGTGCTTCATTATATTCATTGTCTAACTAATGCATTTGCACTGCTATTGTTGTCCTGCCTCTAGCTTGTCTACGTAAAATAAGTTCTATTTTTGAGTGCTGAAAGGGTTCTTCCATCTCCAAGGGTTGGTATGTGCCATTCAGAACTGGCTCAAGCTGAAATGAAGAAGAGATGAAATCCAGGTAAGTGGTTAGTAAGTACAAGTGACATGTAATGCAACCTGTTGTTACACTGAATTACAAGAAATCTGTGAAGGGAAAAATAGCATCAAATACATTTATGACACTCCTTGACAGGAGTGAATTTATAGGGAGTGGTGCAGAGGTGGTTACTCCAGACAGATACTTTGGTTCTTTGACCGCGGCTGGCTCTCGGTTACTGTGCGTGACTGGACTGGCCACTACAGACTCTTCACTGTGTCAAACCCAACTCTCCCGTGCTGTAGTTTGGTCTGTTACACTTCCTTCTCTTTAGTGTGTTTACATATTTAGAGACTTGGCTCATGTTAAGCCTCAGCCCTTCAGTTTCTTCTCCATGACTATTCTCAACTGGTTCACAATTTAAGTAAAACATGGTGTCCGAAACGGGATGCATAAGACAAGTAGAGAATTATTTCTTATCTTAAATATGTTTATTCATGTATACATCCCCAGTGTACTTTGCTTGTTTAAGAGCATGCTTTAATAGCATGTTATTGTTAACTGAGCTTGTGATCCACCTTCATTCCAATCCCTTTCTTCAGAAATGGGATAATGTAAACCAGCAGCACTAGCTGACTTCAACATTCAACTCCCAAGCCATTCTTAAACTCTATTTTCAACTGGATATTCAGACTCAAATTTAACAAAATGTGTCTTTGTATTTCATATTCATATGTAGAAGTTTCTATAAGAGATTGAAGTGGATGGGCTCTGGTGTGCTGGTGAGGGAACAACAGGAAGGGAAGATAGCCAAGGAGCAAGAATAATGTTTCCAGGAGTAGACTGAGTTTTGCTTATGCCCATGGTCAGATTAACTGGATTCAGATTCATTTTATTTTCCCATGCATTCTTGAATGACAGACATGTAAGTACTAGAGCAATGCAGTCAGAATTTTCAGGGGGGGGAAAGAAATGAAACTCACCACTGCGGAGGGATTTCCACAGGGACAAAATTCCGGTTGCACAGATGAACAAAAGCTGCTGCTGAGCTGCAGGCAGCCCCCAGGGCCGGGGACTCACAGGTGTCCTGTGTGCACATGGTGTAGAAGGGCTCGGGGTCCACCTTAACACAAAGGGATTGTTTAGGGGAACAGGGGGCACCTGCAGGTGGACCCAAAGGTTTGATTTGGGTCTCCCTCCCCCCTGCCTCGTTAGGGCTATTCATAAACCATTATTCCCTTCCTAACATTGAGGGAGTTGTTTCTATTTCCAAATTCTAGACTTGTATCCTAAAGAGTGGTGCAATCATGCTCTGTGGATGTCAAGGACCTCAATTTATATGTATGGTGATAATAACAGCTTTTTTTTTTTTTTTTTCTGTTTGTATTACTGTTCTGATTATTCTAAAGTTCTGATTATTCTAAAGTTATCTGTGACTGAACTACATCCTTGCAAGGGTTATGTGTCCCTTGACACGGGGGTGATTCAGACAGTCCTTCATGGCTGAAGTTCTACTTACAACTTTGAAGCAGTTCCTAAGAAGTGAATGTGGTTCTTCAAAAAACACTTTGCAGATGTTTTGCTTGCCTGTAATTGGACATGGCTTCTCTTTCTTCGGTCCAAGACTGCACGTGTTCACCTGGGAAAGCAGAATTACTGCAGTTGGGGGGCTTTGTTTTTTAATACATCAGGTTAGGGTGAATTCTTCAGATTTCCAATGTGAGCTGGTTTAAAGGAAGATATGGGCAGCTCAGTATGCTGCTCTAACACATATTGTTCAATAATACTGAGAGATAACTAAGGTTACAGATTAGACATTGTTTCCTTTTTCTCTTGATTCTGTTGTGCACTGAGGGATTTGGGTGTGTAGCTGCTGCCACAGCAGGCAGTTGGCTAGTTCTCTTATTATATAGATCTGACAGGTCAAAGATGTGCTTTTACTAGATCTTTTTAATGCAGAAAAAAACAATATCTTCCTCTCCTTGCTGGGTTATTCATAGGTAAAGAAGCCTTTAAAAAAAACTCAACTCAAACAAAAACTCCCAAACAAAAAACTAAAACAAACAAACAAACAAAACCCCAAACCAACCAAAAAGTTCTTTAATTAAGTGTAAATTTTAGTGATTTTTAGTTTTTATAAAAATGAACTGGCAGTTTAATCTGTGATAACCCTCATCCTGCAGGAGCCAGACCTTGCAGGCTCCTGCTTTGCCTCCTGCTGTTGTGCAGCCCTGGCCTCATGACACTGGAAATTTGCTGGAAGGAAGGTCAGTCTCCAGGGAGCGAGTTGCCAGCCAGAGTTCGCAGTTCAGGGTGAGGTGACTCCAGCAATGCTTTTATTTCAGGCTTCAATACCTGGCCAGATTTAACCTGACTGCTTTCACTTTCTGTATCACAAATTGCTGAGCTAAAACTTTTGGTCAGGAAGGATTTTTTTCATGCTCCATTTGACCAGCAGAGCTGAGTACACTATAGCCTGTTGGGACTGGGTTATTTCCACCCTATCATCTCTTCCTATCTTGAGAAAACTTCCTAAGACTTTGCAGGAACTCCTGACTTAGCACTCTTGCATTGCTGGCCCTTGCTTCAGTGCAGTGGTAAGTCAGTCTTTTTGTTATTTTTTTTTCTGAAGGGGTTATGACAGTGACCAGCACAGGGGTCAGCCAGAGTCTCCTGTACATTCTTGCACTGCAAAGCTGCCTCAGCCTACAAATAAACTGCACCAATCAGTAGTGCAAGTGTAGCCATTCTGATCCTGAATCAGGACATACACGTGGCTGCCCAGCTTGTTTATGACACTAATTTCCTTATGTATTGATTTAGTTCAATGTCTCTGCATAGGTTTACATTTTTATGAGTGTATTAGAAGTTAATAGTTACAGCAATTAAGAAAATGATACCTATGGTCAGTCACATTGTGATCCTGCCCTATTATTAACATATACATAGACTGAAAGCTTGTTAACTGTATCTCTGCAATAGCAAGAAGATACTTGAAGCAACTCTCTCTTCTACAGTAAAGTACTGATGTAAAGCTGAAAATAGAATTTCTGTTCCCAGGACTCACACAGCTTCTGGCAGAGAAGGTAAAGAGAAGAGTCACAAAACCTTTGTAGTAATAAGATGCTGGTTCCTTTTCTTTTGGGTATTAGATTCTAAAAATTAGGCTTGGAAGGGATTTAGAGTATCTCGTCAACATGGCTTGAGAGATGTTAAGGCTACTTTTCTTGCTGGGTTACCTTCACAAAAGGGTATATACACCTGCACATTTGTGTATTTGGATTATTTTCAGCTGATGATGGAGAACATAAATTAAGCAGAAGTGTAATGCTAGTGGTGAAGGTGTTACAACATTTATTTGTGATAGTTATAGGAAGTCCTTTTATGCAAGTCAGTAATTGACAGTAGCAGCTAAACCTCCAAAAAAGTCACAGTGGTACAGAGATAGAGAACAAATTCATTAGTTTCTTGTAACTAGTTGTATTTATTGATAAGGTGTAAAGGAGGAAGAACAGGGGGGGAAAAAAAAAGAAAAAAAAAACCTGTTCTTCTTGAACAGTTTGTAGCAAAAATGTGCAAACTTTTCCCTGGTTAAACAAGGGGAAAACAGTTTCAGTACAGCGTGCTACTGGTTTTCTAAGCCAACCAGCATGTCATACACTGCTCTTTGTGCTCAGCATCTCTGGTGAGCCCTTGAGAAGCCCTTGAGCTCCTTACCTGCCAGCTCTGTGTGAACTCCTGCACGTTGTCAGTGAAGGAGCCATTAGGAAGCATCCATTCATTTCCAGCTTCATTGTCATTGGTACCAAAAAGCCCAGCTGAGATACCTGGGATGAAATTGAAATGGGGTAACATAGTAGTTGTCAGGAGGAGATGCAGGAAAGTTACAGAAGCTGTCTCTGGGCTCCAGTTATTCTGTACAGCAGCACTCAGCTCTAACATGGAAAAGAGAAGGTATGGCCAGATAGCCATTCTGGATTTTCCCCACCCTGCCTTGCCATCTCTTGTCCTAGCTGGTCATGTGTTTCTCCTGACCACACCAAGGCATCAGATCTATCCTCTGCTTGTCTTGGGAGTGCAAGTTTTAGAATAGTGTGGGGCACATGGATAGGAATGCATTCCACATATACCAAAAACCCTGTAAGGTTTTAGGCCTCCCTCTGTAGTTTTCTTGCAGATCTGACAAGCTAAGCCATTTCTAAAGCAGTGATTCTCATCCAGGATTTGGGGCTGGGCTGACTGCATTGCATATGTCTGCTTTATTACACTGAATCATCAGTAACTCATAACCACTCACTGTTCTCCCTGGAATGATCCATGCTCTGTTTAGCAATTACAGGGAATGCCTAGGGCCATTTCCAAGGTGTGCATGAATGAAGAGGGGAAAAAGAAATGAAAGACAATGCAGATTCTGGTACTACAGGAGGTAATAATATAGAGAGATAAAAAAATGACTAAGAGCTGACAAAGGCTGATTGGTACTCACCATGGTGCCACCCAGCTAGAGTGACAGTACAGAGATCATACTGAAAGTTACAAGATAGAGAAACTCCTTTCTGATTAGATATTTCTATTTTGTTGGTTTCTCTCCTTGAATTAGTAGTATTCTTTTCAAGTGATTTATCCATTACTTGGCAGTTCTCTTCCGTAAAGGAGAACATCTTGGAGATCTGTTTTAAAATGAAAATGCAGTTTCAAATCTGTCACTGTTAAAGTTCAACAACAGGCAAGCTCGGGGGGCCAACTTAGCCCAGAATCAGGGAATAAGAAGGGGGTTGTGTTAAACTTCCAAAAGAGCAGACAGCACAAAGCCTCCCAGGTGCCCCAAGGCTCCAGGCTGAGTTTGATCTCTAGAACTCTCTGACATGATCTAAGAGAAACGCTGAAAATTTCCTTTAGTATGCAGAGAGCAAAGATGCAGCCCTTGCTTTAAATGGGCTTTGTTTTGGAGATGTGTTTTTTGATCAAGAAGTGGTTAATTTAAAGCACTTGTCTGAGAGCTGTTCTCATCTATGTTTTGGGGATTAATATTTGGAAAGCTTTTTTTGTTGTTGCTGGTTTAAGATAATTTCTGCTCTGAAAATGAAGAATGTTTGACTTGCTCCTCCTACCTTCAGTCTTGGGTGGATACTGATCACAGTCTGGTTCATCTCCACATACAGTGATCTTGAGTTCCTGGTTTCCTCACTCAGTATTACAGTGAAAGCATTGTGAACGAAATCCTTGGCAAGAAGTACACTGCACTTTGATGCCAAATCATAAATTTTTCCATCAAAAGTCACAAGATGCTTGGTCCCCACTAACAGAGCATGATCTAGAGATTTCAGAAGAAACATCAGTGAGTTTCCCACAGAGCAGTAAGTGCTGTGCATACTGCAACACACAGCTTTTGGCTGGCATGCTCTTAAAATAATTTCTCGAGTTATTATTACTACATGGACATTACTACATTCACATTTTAGTTAGTTACACTGTAGTTGGTCTGCAACAAAAATTTTACCAGAAACAAAGCAATTTAATGATTTATTTTTCATTATAGATTTACCTGGGTGTCCTGAAACCTTGAGAAGCATGAATTGGGATTCAAAGCTCAGCTGGGTTTATTGTCGTGCTACTTGTAAACTTGCTTTTTGTAAGCACACACATATACCCTACACTTCAGACATTCTTATGCAGAAACCAGCATGAGTGTTAACTGTCTCCAGAAACTGCCCTTCCAAACTAGAGCATCAAACAGAGCTGCAGTCCCTGCTGATACATCACTTAGATTATTTGGTCACCAGGACCAACTTTCACAGCCCTCTTTATGCCTATAAGTCTAGTAGGAGGAGACCATTAAAAACAGCTCTTTCTGGAAAAAACATTCTCTCTAAGGGACAGTTGGGACTGTTAATGCAGTTTTTTAGCATTTAGCAAGGCTTTTACTGGCAATACTGTCTCTGAAGTTTTGGTAGGGCTAAGTTTTCCCATCCCGGAGTCAACAGAGGTGAGATGACCAGTTTCAAAGACTCCATGCCAGGACACAGCCTTGGGTATGACTGGCATTGAGCCATAGTACCAACTCACAAGGGCATGTGGATAAGACAGATAAACAGCACCTGCTGATTTCTAGTTTCAAGAGTATGAAGTGTAAAGAATTGGAAAATTTGCATGAATATTAAGCAGAGGAGTGTTACTGCATGTCAGCTTTGCCCAGAGTGTTGATATTATACATACCATTAGTGTCTTACAGAAAAGACTGTATAAAGTTGATAATTATTAATTAGCAACTATCCATAGTGAAGTACTATGCCAAGTATGATTTTTCACATATAGCACCAAGTGGAGGTAGACCCAGCTACAAAACAAAGCAGCACTTTGAAAGGGCTTACATTCGAAGGGACTCTCCACCATCCTCCTTTTGAGCCTGTAATACTCTGCAAGGATGTTGATTTTGTAGAGGTCCTGCAGAGGCCTCATTAGTTTCTCTCCAATGAGGTAAGTAGGAACATTTGCCAGCTGTAGGGAGTTGTCTCCTTTGGGCAGTACTGGCAGCTTTATTGCCACGGAGCAGTTCCTGTGGAATGCAAACAAAACAGCAGGAGCCCTTATCTGCTCAACTGATGACATGCTGTTGCTTTATTGTAAGAAATGTGGAAGTGAAAAATTCATAAGAACTGTAGTCTGGTTAGAACAGCCCCACACTGGCCAACAGCTGCACTGCCCAAGGCCATAACAGGCCAGTTATCAGTTATTACTGTTGTGTTTGCTGCCCAGTAGCTCCTGTTGAAAGGCAGTCAACAGAAGTGAACATTAGGGTGTCTTGTGCCCAAAGCAAGGAGTGGTTGGGTGTCTGTCCAGAACCCTCAGCCTACAAACTGATAGGAAGACTACAATGCACATATCCATTTAGAGCAGCCCCAGCAGCAGGGATCCTGCAGGAACACCAGTTACCTGGCTGAAAAGCTGTACAGGTTGAGCAAGGGCTTCCGGATCTTGCTCACAGCTCTGGAAAATGTGGCCTCTGCCCACCCGAACATCTGCTGTGTGGTCTGTTGGAGAGTCAGAAGAGGAAATTACAAAACCGACTTCAGTATGGCTTCAGGGCAGGGTCAATACTTGCTAAGGAGTTTTAAATCAACAGTCAGTGAAACAGCACTTTAGTCTCTCGCATTTGTCACTTGCCTTGCAGCATCTTGTCATTTAAAGGTTAATATCCAGAGGCAGGCTCTACTCACAACAGCAACAAATAATGGACAGAAATATATTCTTCCTACATAGCCTTACTTAAAGTATACCAATACTTCACTGAGTTAATGCACTTCAGTATCTTGCAAAGGATTGGTATCTTTGTTAATATAAGTTGGCATGATATATTTTATGCTGTTCATTTCAACCGGAAGAGCCCAAATCTGTACATTGTTTGCTGGAATCACAATTCATCCTCTATGAAGAAAAGTAAAAGCTACGTGAATGACAGATGACTGCTGCTGTGCTTTCAACCAGAACTAGTAAAACAACCTCTCCTCCAGCTGGAAAAGTACTGCTTTCAAACCAGGACAAATACTGCAAGAACAGTAAGTTAGCTGTGCACAAGTTTGTTACGTGTAAAGACAACTGGACTGTTTCCATAAACAAAATAGTTAACCATTTTTGTGTATCCATAGTTCAAAACTGAGACTTAAATTTGTAGGCCTTGTCTTACAAATCATTAAAAATGCAGAACTGAGTTATACCAACCATATCCAAGGCTGCTTTCACAACCTTTAATGCCAGCTGGATTGGCTCCATTAGCCACGCATCTTTTACAATATTGGGTAAAAAAGCCTGGATTTTCTTCATGTACTCTTCTGTCTTCTCTTTCCAGACCTCATCCAGTGGCTTCAAGGTCACATCATAGTAGGCATCCTTCAAAGTTGCTAGTGGCTCTGAAGCAAACACATTAATGGAACAAACCTTAGCTGGTGTGGTGCAAAGTGGCTTTGTTTGCTTGTTTGTTTGCTTGTTTGTTTGCTTGTTTCCTCACAACTTCAGGATAAGGGAAGGGGGACACACAAAACAGGAAGAGGGGGCGCTTTTTTCATGGCAGTTTGGGAATATTGCACAGCTGTCTGTGTGGACCCAGTGTTAGCAGAAACTGAAAGAGGTATTTAGCTCTAACCTTGAGCCCCTTAATGGACTTTTGGACCCTGCCACTGTCCAAAAGACATGTGAGGAATGCTTTGCAATATGCCACCAGAGTACTGCACAAACTGCATCTGATTAGTAACAGGACAGGTTGGTCACAGATGATTTCGAACATGGTATGTCAACTAAACCCAGCTTTTGAGTGAAAAGAGCCTAGAGTTAAGTGGCCCAAAGTGAGGTTTTACTCTTGTGAGAACTGAAGGTTCTTACAGCTAATTACAGCTGAAACTCAAAGGTTTCAGGATGGGCCACAGTCCAGCTCAACAGTAAATTAGAGACTAGTGGATAGGCTTAAAAAAAAACAGATCAAGTGAAATCCGATTAGTACAAGCATTCAAAACTCAAGGATGGATATGAACAGCCCTTTGGGAGGAAAGGCTTGCCAGGGAACTGTTAGCAGAAATACTTCAGCTTAGGAATTAGGGCTCTGTTCTCATCCGACTGAACTCGGCCTCCTGTGACCCAGAGAGTGTCTCATCACTGATTTCATTAGAAAGGTCTCACAGAGAGCTTATTTAGGGCTTATTGCATCAAGGCTCCCACTCTGTACACCAAGAGCCAAGGTCAGCACTTTTCACCAGATCAAAATAGAAACCTTTATGCTGTCAGCATATTTTATAGTTTATAGTCAAGTCTGGCTTGCCCTGCACTGACATTGACCTTCTTCTCCTCGCTTTGCACAGTTTCGCTTACTTTGCAATTCATTCTGCATTTGCTGGACAACACCTTGAACTTTATCCAGGTAAAGTGGGACCTTGTTCCTCAGGATGTGCCCAATTCCGCTTTGCTTCCACGCCTGGGCGACAGCTCTGCCCCCGCTGTGCAGGAATCCTGCTGCCATCTGCAAGGCTGTGGAAGGCCAGCCAGCTGCTTCAGACAGGAAACCAACTTGCTGCACCTACAGTGGTTCCCAAAAAACGAGCAATATCAAAATACATACTGATCTCACGCAAAGCTTTGATTCCATTGTGAGGCAATTCTGACTGCTCGGTGTTGGTGTGGAGATACAAGATCTCCGCATGAAACACACTTTTTGTCTGAGTTACAGGTCAGCACAGGAGTAATCATTTAAATGTTTGAGCAAAACAAAACAACTGCAGGCAATGTAATGATTTTAATTAACACTGCATGAAAAGCTCATGGTGTTTTCTCAGATATGTACAGATACTTACTGATCTCCTGAATCTCCACATGTATCCATCAAACTTCTTTATCTTTTCCATCAGTTTGGCTTTCAAAAGACTCCCAATTTCAATAAGCTTGTGCTGTGAGAAGATTAATAAAAACCTTGAATTTATGACTAAAAACTGCTTGTGCGGGGTCCAAATCACTCAAAGTTTGTACTAGTTTAAATGCCAGCAAATTTCCACAGTGGCCTCCCATTTCTCAGGGGGAGTTGCTTCTGCCCTCTTCAATGGATAGACATGGGAACAGAAGGTCTAAGGATGAAAATTCAAAAAGCCTCATCCAAGCAGAGACTATGTGAAACCCTATTAGAAGTAAAAGCACATTCAGGAATACTAATCTTGGTTTTGTAACCAACATACTGAGCAGTTACTGCTGCTCTCACTTTGTTTACTTACCCTCCTCAGAGAACCCACGCTTCAGGAGAGGGTCCCTTATTTTCTGTCTCTGGGTATCACTGAACTTTTTAATTCTCACCATGATAACTTTTCACATCAACGTGAAATTAACGTTATTATGAGTTTAAAGATTACATCATTTTGCCTGGCTACTCACTAAAACTCACATCTGAATCCTACGTGGAAGGTGTTCCAGCAAACTGACAAAATTAAACAATATTCTGGGAAAACCACACTGTAGTTAACAGGCACTCAAGAGTCTCACCTCAGCCTTAAGAACTGGATCCCCACATCCATGAGCCAGAAAACTCAGGCTTCCATTAGCAGCTGATAGAGTCACTTGTCCCATGTTTTCCTGCCTTTCCCCATTGATGGTGAGATGGGTGTTAATGGCAGCCATCTCCTGCCCATCAGAACAAGCATTGACTTCCATTCCTTCTTCCAAATCCCCTTAGGGAAGGAAAAGACAACGCTTCATTTACAGGAACAACACTGACAGACATTGTTTCAAAGCCAGCTTTTAATTACTTAGGTAGGTGATCAATCAATGTCTGAGTGTGTTAGGTGTTTGTGGAAAAAAAAAAGAGAGATAAACAGGAGTCAGATCAGTGTCAGTGTTTGATCTTTCTCTTCTGCGTGGCTTGTGAATGAGTTGCAAATACAGATTTGCTACGGCAAAGGAAATACTGGATTAATGTAAATATAAATATTCCGGTCTACTTTAGTCTTCACTGTTTTGATGTTTCAAAACTGCTCAGCTTGTCAGGTCCACCCATCACACCGAAGTCGCTTCTACCCAAGCACGGATGAGCATAAACAGAAACGGTTGGCAAAGGTACGAAGAGTCTGGGTGGAGAGAGCTGAGTTGAACCACTGTTACAAACTCCTGACTTCAGTAATTCACAAACTAATGGTCCTAACCTCAGATACATCACAGCACTTACAAATGAGGCCATGAACCTGTGAGAAATTCCCCTGCAGAAGTGTGGAAAGGCAAATCCATAACTGAAACAAAAGTGTCTCCCAAGCTTGACCTTTGTGTAACAAGTTTTAAGTTTCAGGTTTTTTTTTTTTTTTTTTTTTTTTTAATCTGAAAGACATAACTTGAATCACCATGAACTGAGCTAGCTTGGCACCAGAGACACAGTCTTTTCACAGCAATGACAGCCAGGAATCACAGAATAGCTCCAGTCAGAAGATACCCATAAGGATCATCAAGTGCAGGTCCCTGCTCCTTGTAGGATTACTTAAAACTAAATCATATGCCTACAAGCATTGTCAGGGAAGGTACATACCTTTCAGATACCCCAGGTAGTACTGAATACACTCCTTTCCTTTTGAAGCAGCTACTTTTACTTTCTCTTTCGGATCAATAATCCCCTCCACCAGGATTTGGCTCTGGACAGATGAGGAAGTAGCAGTTCCTGTCAGGCCCAGCCAAATATCTTCAAAGGCTCTTAACTGCAGCCATAAAGGAAAAACATTTATTCAAAGCCACCATACAGAATTAAATGACTGTTCAGAGGAGATGCTCAAATAGCAGTGCTTCCCACAAAACAGTGAGTGGTGAGGGAAGTGTTTCCCAAAGCTTGTGCACTGTGCAGGAGTTTCACTAAGAGAGGCACAAGCATCAGAGGGACTGGCTCAGGAGCTGAATGACTGGATAGCACAAGACTCCTGGACAAAATTTTACTGGCAGCAGTGTAAGCATGACTACCTTCTAATGAAGATTTTGGATGGTGCTGAACATGTTACTTTTCTGCCTCAGTCCCTTTCCACCACCAGCTTCTCCACCTTATTTATTTCACAGGAAATTAAAAGCAAATGCAAAGCAGAGGGTAAAAAGAAGAGATTTGCCTCAGATGAGCATCATATGTACATTGTGTAATTGCTCCTTTATAAAAAGAACTAGAGAAACCAGGAGTATTTTAAGCTGCCCACTGTTTTACAGTCACTGGCTGCACCTGATCCGTTTGGGAGATAGATGGCAGCAGGCCTTTAAAAACCAAAACCCAGTGGCACTAAAACAAAATAAAAACTCACTTGAATTTCCATAGAATAGTTCTTCACATCAGCAGTGCTCTGATTCTTTATGGATACTCCAATCAACCCTTCATCTGTCCTGTGATCACCAAGGTGGAATCTGCCCTCTGACTGCAAAATGGTGTTATCTTTGTTGAGCTGGTGTTTTCCAGATAAAACAATTACCTAAGTATGCACAAAAAAAGGGTGCTAAAGCTTAATTCTTCCAAACAAACGGGCTCTGCATAGAGTAGTAAGAAGTTGTACAATGGTAGCATTCTCATGGAATTACACAATAAAGAGATGAACAAAACTTGTCGTTTCAGAAACCAGCACATCCTCCTCCTCACGGCACTGTCTCACTTTGTTACATCTTCAGTTTCTGTTGTACAAGAAAGCATGTTTGGTGATTGCAGCCTAAGATTACATAAACAGTTGGAAACTATATTTTGTTAAAACATCCTTTTTTTTTTTTTTTTTGCTCCTGTGCTTCTCAGCAACTCTGGCCAGACATTTTGATAAAGCTGGGGTTGCGTAGGAGGTTGGATATTGTCCTGGTTTTGAGTGGGATAGAGTTAATTTCTCCTCAGTAGCTGGTACAGTACTGTGTTTTGGATTCAGAATGAGGACAATGTCGACAGCAAAACCAAAACATCAGTAGGTTAAGTCCTGTTTATCTTAAGTCAAAGACTTTTTTTTTCTTCTTCTTCTTTTTTTCTTCCAGTGAGGAAGTGCACAAAAGAAACTGGGAGGGAGCACAGCTGGGAGAGGTGATCTGAAATGACCAAAGGGATATTCCACACCACAGAACATCATGCCCAGTATATAAACTGTGGGAGTTACCTGGAAAGGGCAGATGTGGGTTTAAGAAGGGGGGGTCTGGCATCAGCAAGCAGGTGGTGAGCAACTGCATTGTGCATCACTTGGTTGTTTTTTTTTTTTTTTTCCTTTCTCTTTTTATTATCATTATTATTATTTACCATTATTATTGTATTTTACTTTGTTTTCAGTTATTAAACAAACTGTTTTTATCTCAACCTACAAGCTTTAATTTGATTCTCCTCCCCATTCTGTGGGGCTGGTGGGGGGAGAGAGAGGGCTTGAGGAAGCAGCTGCTTGGTGCTTAATTTCCAGCTGGGCTTAAGCCATGATGCCTTTGAAAAGGAGGATTCAAAAGAATACAGAGGCACCTGATTTTGAAGTGACATACATACATATTCTTTGCACTGTAAACAGGCTCTATCACACCTTAGTCTTGGAAAAAGCTTTCACAGGCATCAAAATGTGGCTTCTGTTTCCCGTTGCTAACAGTGTCACCTGCTGGAAATGTTTTAGCACTGGGAATTGAAAACATTTATGTAAATGAAGACATTTACTGCAAGTTTCAATTTTTGTGTTTGCTGTAAATATCTATAGGCAACCCTGAGGTCCAATGTGCACCTAAGGAAGATCATGGATCGGTCTTCAATTCATGTGTTTAATAGAAATAAAGGTCACATTAAGGTTCAAAAATCCATCACTACCAGCAGAGCAATCATAAAAACCACAAAACATTTACCCACAGGGGAAGGAAAGCACTTTCATTCCTCTCTAGTTTCCTTTTCGATCACTTATGAGCCTGATTTGATATTCTCCAGAAACATGAAATTAAAAGACCTTTGAAATAGGAATAGGAAAGAAAGAACATGGAGGAAGTGACAATCTTCACAACCACAACAGGGCTTACAGAATATGCTACAGTGCCAAACAGAACCTTTCTGGCCCTCAAAAGACACTGTTTATTTATTTGGTTCATTAGAAGTATGAAGAGCTGCAGCTGAGGAAAAATGAGTCTCCAAAACAGTAATTACATTTAAAGTGAAGTAGGTTCAATGTGTTTATCTGAGACTTACATTTGGAAGGTCACAGAACTCAAAGCTTGCATAATGATCCAGGGAAGAGCAGTAGTTTGTTTCTATTTTACCCAGAATCTTCTGTTTGGTGCATGGGGTCAGGAAAATGTTTTCTAGAACAGCTTCTAACTGGAATTTATCAGGATACAAGAATTGATTCCTCTGCAATGAACCAAGAAAACAAAGTAAAATATGCCAACAGGACCTTAGACACTCCTGGGTGCCCACTCATCCTGTCCCTGTGCTGGCTTTTGTTATTCCAGTAGCTTCAGGATTTTAATGTGACATTTCCGAGACATAACATTTCCACTTGACAATGTTCTGGATCATCAGCCTTGTTTCTGGTTCCCATCCTTCAGAATTAAGTCAACAGTTTTGCAAATTTAGAGCACAAGTGAGGCCTCTAGTTTGTAAAAACTCTTTCTTTCTTTAATATGCTGCATTTATCTTTCTTCCCATGTAGAGAAATATGTAAAAGGTAAAACAAAATATTGATATTTCACAGAAAACGGCACTCTACAGAAGCTTTCTTAAAGTGCATGCAACATTATGTCAAAAACCAAAACAATTTCTCATCTATTAAGAACAGCTTTCATAAAAATGGTGAGTTAACAGTTACAACTGCCTTCTCTTACCTCATATGTTAAATTGTGTTTGATTTTTTTGTCATCCCAGTTCAGATCTAGATATTCATTAAACAATGTTGATCTTAGCTCTAGAGACCCACATGCATGCAGGTGTTCCATACTTAATATTCTCTGAAGCTGGAAGAGAGGAAAAAATTAACCCATATAATTAATTTTAAAAAAATATGTTCAGTATATCCTAGGGCAGTGCATTTCCTGGGCAAAAATACACCCCTGTGAGAACCCCTGAACTGTCTATACCCATAAAATACTGCTTCAATCTCTGCCAGCAGACCTGAGGGGTTTGACAAGTCTGTCCTGAGGGAAAGCTGCAGCCCCAATACAACCATGTCTGGCAACTTGAAACAGAATCCTTCAGAGGGTTCATTTTTCTTCCTCTCAGACATGAAAAGGTTGGCTTCAAGTAAAAGGCCTTCATATGGAAACAAGTGCAGAAGAAAAACAAACAAACAAACAAACCCCTCTCTTCTGAGAGTCTTAAGATTGGTACCTGGCCTGCAGAGAGTGTCACACAGCCCCCCCAGGCAGCGATGTCCACCTTGGATTGATCCTGCAGGGTCAGTCGGATGTCAGTGGGCTGCCCGGCATTCCCTGCCAGCTGCAGCTGAAACCAAAGAGAAGGGTTTGTCCAGCAGCAAGACCTGAACCAGAAGAGCTGCAGGGAGATCCAGCAGAATGATCCCCATCCAGTGGAGAGAAACAGAACCACAATGAAAACTGCAACAGGCTCTGGGGTCTGGAGACCAGCACAGGGAAACTGCTCTGCTGCAGCCCAGGCAATGCAAGTATTTTGCTGCTGTCTCTGGAAGCTGCCTGGGGTCTGTCATGCACAGCAAATAACGACACCACTGGAATAATGGCCCTACAGCAGAATTTATTCCTCTGAATATGATTCTTGAGACGTAGTGCAAACCACCCGAGAGCACCAAAGGGCTCCAGATGAACAAACAACACTGCACTTTTGGCACAGCTTCTTATTGAGCAGAAAGTCTTCAGCCTCAGCAACTGGAGTGTCCTGATTCATGAAGTGCATTTTCAGACAGAAAATACTGTGTTTAATCTTTAAGGATGATTTGTGGAGTTCCTCCTCCTCTTTTTCCCTATATATGCTTTGCAAGTGCACTCATAATTGTATTTTAAAATCTTTCTAGTCTTGCATTTTTTTTTTCACACTTGTGTTATAATTTTCCATACAGCTCAAAAATTTATGTTTGCTCCACAGGGGTATCAAAGGCTTTCTGGTTAAGTTGTGTTGTGGGGTTTTTTGGATGGCACGTTGTTTATTTGAGGGTTTTTGAGTGTGTGCACTAGGGATTCGTTCATTTCTTTGTGGAGAAAATTCGCCTCATTTTCACTGCTAGGCTGCCCCCTGTGCACTTCTGGCTTCCTACCATCCAAAATGGGTCAATGCTAAAAGTGCAAGTCTGTCAGTCAAAACCATCTATGCTTAGGAAAAGAAACAATGCTGGAGGTTTGGACACAAGGAGAAAGTAGCACTTGGTTTTCTTAACATTTTTCAGGATGATATCTGGTTCTGCCATCCTCAGGGATGAAAGGCACACTAACAGTAAATACAGCACCACAGGTGTGTATTTTGCAGCCCTTTCTCATGCTCTCACCTGCTGGTTGTACTTTCTGCCCCTTCTTTCTGACAGGGAATGGATCTCCAGTTGCTTCAGGGTGTAATTAAAGGGGTGGGCAACAGTGGCTCTGTAGTTTGTCCGGTGTCTTCCAAACTTCAGAGAAGATGACACCGATATCTGATCCACAGCAAGACATGTAAAAGGAATTTCTGAAATCAAACACCTCTCACATACTGACCTCAAACATACACCCAGCAAGATTTCCCTGTACCTTTTCCTCAGACAAATTATCTGCCTAATAAACTCCTTTTTGAAGTAGTGAGGGAAATTAATGTTCAAATGAGGACATTCCTGCTACTTGAGTTACATGGCACAGGTGAAAGTAAAACTATTCTCTGTGTTTTACTAAAACCATGAACAACACTTAAATTCGTTGAGGCTTAATTTTGGTCTCATCTTTAGGCACTGCCACAGAGTGCTTAGACACAGCTTGCACAGTCAAAACTCAAGAAAAAACATTCTGTATGTTAATGTATTTTACACATTATCTTCTATCTTTCCATTATTGAGAAAATAATGTAGTACTTAGCCAAGGTGCTGCATTTCGGATACACATATACAGATAGCACAGTCAGCAGCAAGTCAGCAATTGTCCCCATTGAACCACACCTGGAAATCAACCTACCCCAAGTTCTCCTGGTTCTGTCCTTTTTACTATTTATATTTTTTTTAAATGATGCTGACTTACTTTAAGAAGGCAAAGGCTGGTTTCACCTGTGCCATAATTGTCATTCTTGCTAATAAAGAGCAAAGTGAAAGAGTGAAATACAAAAAAGCTTCTACTACATCACTAAAGCTGAAAACACCAAGTACAGGTATGTGTCACACTTCTGTGTGGGCAAACACAGTATTTTAGCCATGCAACAGGTTCTCCATCCTTTTCAGCCTCACACTAGTGCTCACACTTGCTTATTTGTCTTAGGTTCTATTTCTTTTCCCCTACGCTGCTTTAAAAGCATATCAGCTGCTCATCTTCCATAGTCAGAGCCTTTTATATATCCAAGAAGGAGGATAGTTTGCCTCCTGCTTGAATTCCCTGACTTGCTTAATACCTTAAAAAAAAAAAATCATTTGATATTCCTGATTTGCTCTGGGCTCCTGTACCTGGTCCTTCTCATTCCAAAGGACAGTAAGATCATCCCGGTGATTACGTGCCGAATGTTTCGCATATAAGTTGACCCTGGCATGCCTTGGGAAAGGGATGGAGAGAGGATGGAAAAGTTCCACTGCAAGGAAAAAGAGCAAACAAGTCAGATTTCCCCCCACACAAATCATGACTGTTCATTTTCTGATAAAGAAAAAGGCATAGGACCTATTCTCTCACTGGCAGCAGGGCAATATTTGGTTCCCAGAGCAGCAATGTCTTTGCTCATACACACACACCACCTTCCCAACAGCCAAAATGACTGCAGTGTGCTGATTTCTGCTCAATATGAGGACATGCAAGTGAAAACAGGAGCCCCCTATCTACCAGCTACACAGCAGTTACCTGCAGTAATCACAAATTGATAGCTACACCCAAAGCAGCAAGAACAGCCAGGAAATTAATCTGTTTGAAGCTGAGAACACCTTACACTGGCAGAGGAACATCTCAAATAAGTAAATGCAGTTATTTTCTCTATTTTCAGATAACAAAGCCTCAACACATGGGATTAACACCTCAAAGTAGTGGCCAGTGTGGCCAGTGCTCCCTTCAGTACCCGATGCAGTAGAGTAGCAGAGTCTACTACAGTTTTAAAAAGTTAATTTAAGTTTTATGCTCCATATCCACAAAGCAGAAACAGTATTCTGAAGTGGAGGTTTCTAACAGCCAGATTATAATGAATTTAAAGCATGTAACATCTTAGAAGGCCTAGATTGGAACCAGGATTGAAACCATTTGGACATGCATTTTGAAATCAGATTTATGTAGTTTGTTTTATTTTATAGTTTGCTATCAACACTGGCAAAAGACTTAAGAAACCTACCCTGAATGTCATGACCTCCAGGCAGCTTTGGGAAGAGTCCAGTGTAAGTGCCTGTTGCCTTTATCTCTTTGCCATCCCACAGAGCAATGTGCCTCAGCATTCGTGTCCTGTTGCCCTTTTGGTAAACAGTCATAAACACAAGCTGCCTTGGAAGAATTTTTAGCTAAAAATGAAAGAGAGGAAACATTAAATCCCAATTTCTCTGAGAAGTTAAAAATCTAAGTGTAATTTTGGTACCATAAAGTCTTGTAGGGTGTAGTTTTAGGAATGTGTTTTTTAAAGGTTTAATGCAATGATACTCTAAGCCCATTGTTATTCATTTCTACTTGTCTTCTTTTCCACAGTAAGTCATCTTTTCACACAATGGAACTGAGTGTTCCCTTTACAATAGTCTTTGCTTAATATAAAATTTGATTTTCTCTTTCATCTCACAATATAATTCTTACAACACCCAGAGTCCCACTCTACACAATAAATCCAGAAGATAACACAAACAACAGTATCTACTTGTTACATCTTTTCTTCCTTATTTAGAAAAAGAAATGTGTGGTAGCTGCATAACAAAAATTGGCAATGGGTCAGTTTGTAATATATTATTTTTCAGATTTCCTATAAATCCTATATATGTGCTTCATCTATGGGAGCAAACAAATATAAAACCAAGCAGCAGGTTATACCACTGGACACACAATTAATCTGCAGTTTGCTCAAGTTAATGGAGAAATCAAGGGCTAAACAACTCACACAGCAGGAGATGTATTTGACAACCACCCCCTGAATATTCCCTTCTGAAAGATACCAACCTGGGACATGGTCTGTGCTATTTCCAGGGTATTAGTGTAGCTGGTTCCAGTCAAAGTGAGCTTTGCTGTAACATTGAAATCCCTTTTTTCCATCCTGAGGCAGAGTTTGCCTTTTGCTTCACTCATATCATAATTTACCTTTTCAAGTTCCCCATTAAATTTAAAAAAAAAAAAAAAAAAAAAAAGAAAAGGAAAAAAAGAAAGACTGGGATTGTTAGCATCTCTGAAAACATGAACATCCTTGACAACAACAAAAGTGTCAGAGTTACTAGCACTAGATATAATGCAGCTTGACTCCTAAAATATTAGACAAGTCTAATTTGCAGTGATGTATGTGATAGATAACTTGCAGATAGTTACCTTAGAAGACAGTTCTGCTGCACTGGGGAAGTACTGTAGAAAGAAGGGATGAGTCTGGAGTGCTTTTATATTCAACTCTTCACTAAAGGGAAGAAATGTACTTTTGTTCAACAATATTTCAGAAAGTACACTCTCACTGGCAGCACAAGTTCAGCTGAGTTACTCCAAGTCTGCCACAGGTTTCAGAGTTACAAATGGCAGTACCTTCCACTGAACACTCACCCAGCTCCCAGTTTTTGATGCATTCACACAAAGGTAGAGGAGACCAAAGAGCACCTTTGACCTCAGTGAAAAATCTGTGTGTGCATCCCAGGGACAGAACGTAGCCCACTCAACCAGAAATTACTTTGCCATAGAAAATGCACCAGCTTTTTAAGAATTGTATAAGTATTTTGGAATCTGACTTTGCAAGCACTGTCATAGTTTACAAACTCAGAACTATTAGAGAGTTCAAAAGAACTTACAAGAAATTTTCAGTGCCAAGGTCTTTCGCTAGAAAATTAAGAAATATCTGAAATACTCCATGGCTGAAAATATCACACCTCTTAAACATCCTCAAAACCCTACAGTTTTGTGCAGATACAGCCATACTGATTCCAACTTAGAAAACCAAGTCTCCATAATTTTACAAGTTTCAATGGTGCCAAAAAGATTTATTAAGATTTAAACAGTTATGTCAAGTTAATGTATATTTTTAAGTACTAGAGTTTTGTGGATTATTTCACTGTCTGCTGTTTCAATGCTGTGGGAGCAGGCAGAGACAGGCATACCCCAAGCTGTGAGGAATCTGCAGCCCTTCATAAACTTCCTGAGGTGAACAGACTGTTTGGTGTGACTACTCACTGTATCCAAGATTTGTTAGCCATTTCACCAGTGATTTGGTGATTCAAACAGTAACTTTTTTCCACAGAATTACAGTGGCCTAATGACATTTTTACAGTGCTCAGAATGACTCTTTTACCCTTGCTGATCCTTTTTCCTACTGATGGCAAAGGAGAAGTTTGTGTTTTGTTCATAGGTCAGCCTCAGAGCTCCTGCAGTTTCATTTTCAGTCAGGACTTCCTGAATTATCATCTGTGGAGGGGGAAAATAAACAAATCACATGCCATAACCTCTACCCAACATTTCATCTCGACTGAGCACGACCTTTTGACTCACTTAAAACCATCATCTTGACTGAAGTTTATCTCCCAGACAGGCCTTCTGGATGCTTGCTGAATGAAGCCCAAAAACCTCAAGAGATGTTTTGCTTTTCTTCTGTATGTTTCCATAGCTACTCATTTGCATTATTGATAAATATTAGCCTTACTTTCCACATACCCTTACCTGCTTTAAGTCTAAAGCTGCTGGTTCTTGTTTATATCTCCCCCACTCTCCTTTTTCATATACTGTAAAGAATTAATATTTTTTTGGAAGAAACAGGTTGGGCTCCACAAATCTTTTACCCTGGGGTATTTTCTTCCTCCCACAGCTCCTGGATCATCTACAGCTGTAGCCTCAATCCCTCTGGGGAAGATAAGTACACTTAAATATCAACATGTGCTTGCCAAAGTCTGTGGGAACAGTAATTTCTGATGTCCCATGATTACACTCATACCTCATACATGAATAAATCACCTCAAGAATTACCATCTCTGCTCTTCTTTTTTTTCACTGAAACATCAAAGGATGAAAGACACTTCACTAAATATTAAGGGGCAAGAAGCAAGGGATATATCTAATACTTTTCAGTTTTATTCAACACTAAAGCATTTCCTGTATTTGTGCTGTAAGTGGTCTAACCAAGCCAAGGAGTTCTCTGGATATGAAGGACAGCTGTTTTCTATCAAGAGTCCTTCTTACTTTAGTAAGCTTATCAGCTAAGAGGTAACAATAAATGTGTGCCTTCCTGAAATGAACCCTGAAACTGGGAATTTCAGATACCTGACCAGTTTCCTTGGAAACAGACCACTAGCTCTGTACTTCAGTTAAACGAGGATTCAGATAAACAGGGCAAGTCACTTCTCATCTGCACTTATACAGACCTGGAGTAATTTCGCTGAGGTCACTGGGAGTGCTCTGGATTCGTGTAACTCAAATGACAGCTCTAATCAAAGCACAGCAAAAGATCTATGGTGTAATACCTTAAGAAAGAAGGGAAGTCCCAGCTGATGGAGGAGTGATATGGAATGCTTCACCTCTGCCTTGAACACAAATACACCAAAGAGTTCAAAGTCTGTGCCAACATCCACAGTCACAGTCACATCTTTCTCATCGTATTGGATTTCACAGACAGTCTTGGCTTTGTTTTCTATGTAGAAAGAACAGGACAGTGCCAATTTGAGTGGCTTGTTTTTGAGGAATTTCAGTACTGTCTGCATTTGGGTCATCATTCAGGATTACAAGAGCTTTGGCCTGTGGTTGGAGGAGTGTAGTTTTTTCGGATGTCCTTGAGCCCCTTTCTTCACTTTCCTACAAGCTTTTTATTTTTGAAAAAGAAAAATACAGACTCCTACAAAATTAAAAGTGAGATGAGAGATGTGAAACCCTCAAACTCTTCATGGAGAAGACAAAATCACAGACCACCATGTAAATCTGCAGTTGAGTGATATGCAGAGAGGATTTATGCCAGGCCAAGTTTTGAGAGCAGACTGGCTTCATCAGGGTGGGTGTGTCTCCCCTCCACAGTTCAGACAACAAAAGCCATTTAGAATTAGTTCAAAGACTACTTTAAACTACAGTGGAATTCACATTTTTTGTGCTGTGTAACAAGGGGGTTTTGTGTGATATTGGAATCTTATGCAGATAAATATCTCAGGAATAACCTGTTTTACCAGGTGTTGTACCACATGAGATCTTTCCTGGAGCTAAAAAAACATGTAATATAACTAATCACAGATGCAGTTTCAGAATGACAGTTTTACTTACAAAGAAGAGAAAGCCTCTATTTAGGTCTTAGTCAGTTTGCAGCTGTTGAAGGAACAGTTGAAACAGCCTCAAAGAGCTATCACAGAACAAAAAATCTGCCAGGGATGGCAGGTACCTACCTGATTTCTGTAAGCTGAGAATCAAGTTGATTGCCTTAGGATAACCAACTGCCTGGAGTACCTCACTGCTATGTACACTTTGGCAGAAGATATCCACTTGGTGACCAGCATAGTAGGAGTTTATTATGTATGTGATTGATGTTTCTCCAGCTGCAATATGCACGTATCGTTCTTGAGTAGCCTTTCCCCCTTGAAAAACCACATCTATCTAAAAAATGACACATAGACATTAGTTCTCCTAACAACATTTAAATACTATTTAATTTTAAAACAGGGGACAAATGGAAGTGTAAGGAAATTCTCTCTAGTCTATACTTATGTTAAAAATCTATCCATTAATAAAACATATCTTAGCTTTTCATTAATCATCTATGATTTTCCAGTACAAAGTCCACTCGACTGAATGAATTTCAAACCACGTCAGCCTCACTGATCGGTCTCAAATTCTCATTAGGTTCTCTTCTATCCCACAAACACGACTCCCTTTATATAAAGTACACTTGATCCATGCCTACCGACAATATTTACCAGATAATAGGTGCTCCAGTACTTTCCTGAAAATAGCACCCAAAGAAGTTCTTCTTTAAGTATAAAATTCCCCTTAAAGAGCATAGGAGCAGTATTCCAGTCCCTGGTGCAGTGTGATGAAGCTACTCTCCTGTTGAGTTACAATATCAACAATACCCACTGTACTAACACTGGTCAGAACGGAACATTCTGGTTCAGAAAGCAATCAGTAAGAAATCTGCTTTTTCAGTCGTTCAGATTTTAGCTCTCCATAGCTTTTAAATATCAGAAAATCTCAGCTTCCATCCTGTACCTCACAAAACAGTAGTTTTCATTCAAACCATGGGCTACTGCATCATAATAAAGGAAAATAATTGTATTAGAAAAAAAAAAAAGCAAAAAAAAAGCCAAACCTAAACTACCTGTAAAGACGGTGGGACTCTGGCCTGTAGCAGCCATGGCAAAGTGTGATGGAAATTCCCTGTTATGTTGGTACTTGTTTCAAACTCCTGGATTTGTCCTTCGAGCACTGTTAGGTGAGTACCATAAAGCACTTTCATACTGAAGCTCTTGGTCACCTCCAGGTTCAAGATACCCTGTGTACAACAAAGGTAAATTGTGAAAAGACAGTTTAGTAAAAATTAAAGCTCCTGTTGGTCAGGCAGTATCATCTCAAAAACTTAATCCTGTGTAATCTTATAACACAACATGATGTTACAGATGTCCCTTTTATTTTTAAATTCCACATTTTAACATGTATTCTCCAGTATGGCCATGCCTTAAATGCTTCTCAAGCAGTTACATAATTAAGAAAGTAAATGTTGTGTTGTAGGCTTGTGTTTCTCAGATAAATAAATATACCAGGTAATCAAAACATGGGAGGAAAGTACCATTTGGAATGTAACCAGTGCAATGCCATCAGAACTCACCTCTGCCCAGTCTGTAGAAGGGGCAGTGCAGCTCTGTCAGGCAGAGGAGGCACAGGAGCTGACCTGCACTGCTCTCCCCAGACAGGGCAGGCTGCCAGCCCCCCCGGGCTTGTGCTGCTCCCACATGGGAGGAACCTCCAATCTCCCAGTCCCAGGGCAAGTTCTGCTCTGGCAAGGTATTCTCCCAACCCCTTAGCAGCAAACTGAGCTTCTGGACTCTCCTCAAGAACAAACAAAGTGAGCAGCAGGACTCCCCTCTTGACCTACAGAGCAAACCTGTAAAATCCTACCTGCACCTCCTGTCCTTTGCCATCTCACTTTTACAGCTCCTGCTTCCCTCAGGGTGTCATTCCAGGCTGGATTTGTGTCTCCCCTGCCATTGCCTGGTAACTCACCTGCAGTTCAATCCTGTCTTTTATCTGTAAAGTCTTCAGTGCCTCTACGTTATGAGTGAGTTTGTAGTTAAGAGACACAACATCCAACTTCTGGACAAAGCTCAGTTCTTCTGTGATCTGTTCAGTCCAAGTAAACATGACAAAAGTTAACTGTGGCACATCTCTGATACTGAGACTTCTCTGATTGATTGTAATTATTGTACTAATTACACATTAGAGTAAAATTATGAAAAGGAGGAAAACTTTATGGTGAAGAATTGTACTGTAAAAGGGACTGAGCTGCATCAAGTGAAGATAAGTGATAAAAAAGGTTTGATACAATTTGCCAGTGGGAATCATGGATCATTGCTGATGTCATATTTGTTTGTAGGAGTGACTGCACAGAAAGAATGGCTGGAATATGCTGCTTTCATTTAATTAAGGTCTTTAAAACCAAACCAGCCTCTGCAGGGTATTCCTACAGGGGCCTCATGCACAGGTGTTTCAGATGGAGAAACACTGTTTACTAAATCAAGTAACTCACTTCAACCTCTATTTCACATCTCACCAATATGGAAAAGACACTTACTTGATTGCTGTTCACACAGAAATGAATAAATCTTTTATAGAAGTCACTGTTTTTTTCTGATATCACATCAATTAACATCTTCATAGGAATGCCCATGTCAGCAGCTCCTTGAATGTTGTGGGTTAGCACTGCATCCAGCTCTTGCCTTTCCTGTTAATATTTCACAGCACAGATAGCAAAGCACAGGTAGAACCCAAAGCTTGCTGCAACACAGAGCTCAAACCAGAAATTTAACAAGCCTGTCTGCCCTATATTTAATATTAAAATGAATTGCGTTGAACTTAGGGGAATTACACTGGGAAAGAGAAAACAAACATCAAACCGAGGTAGGATTATATATATATATATATATATATATATATATATATATATATACACACATATATATATATTTCAGCTGAGAGGAAAAAAGGTGTAAATGTTTCTCCCTGATGGCAAAGAACTCCCAGTCGCTATCTTGTTTCTCTGTGGCAGAAACATGCAAAAATTACTAGTTATGACAAGAAAACAAATGACCACAAAGAAGACACGTGTGTGTGTTCTCTACTCTCCTGCACTGATGACAAGAAAAGCCAAACTTGTAACTGTCAGCAGGAAAGCAAGAGATTCACAGCCTTTCTTGTGCTACTGTCTTACTTAAGTAAACACCAGTGTCTCAATTTATCCCTGCCTATTATTTTGCAATGTAAGTCACAGTGACATAAGGAACATCAAATAGTACAATGCAAACAACAAAAATTTACAAAGAGAATAACAAGGAAGTGATTCAGGAAGTGCCATAGCCTGTATCCTATTATCCTGTACATTTGTTACTGTCTATTACAGGTGCCAGATTTTCAAAGATTTTATTTTTATTTTATTTTTATTCTGGTATTTATTACTAGAAGTTGTTTATTTGTTCCCAATAAAACAGTGTGGAGTGCATTACTCAGTAATTTGTACATGCAGTCTGACAGCCCACAGGATACTCACATCAGTGACTTTGAGTATAAGGAGTCCTTGGAATTTACTGTCATCAACAGTGATCAGTGTCTGTGAATCCAGGTTCATTTTAGTCATCAAAATGTAGCCTGACCCATCAATTTTCACTGGTGCTCCAAGATCCTGTAAAAGTAAAAAAAAAAATTTAAAATTCCCCATTTTTATACACTCATAAATCCCTACCACTGAAATCCTTAGACTATTGTCTTTGACTTTGGTAGGAACAAAGATCCTGCCTTTGATGCACAGATTCAGTAGCAAAGCAATAAATTCTTCTCAATACCTGAATTGTTTGGCATTTATTTTCTATAAGCATTTTCCACTGAAGCTTCTTTTCAGGGTCAAAGTCCCCATTCATTTGGAGCTCACAAGCACCCACTTTCATTCCTATTCCAAGGAAATATTTCGGCTGTTTCCGTGCAGTGATGGACAGCTCATTTTCCCTTGGGATTTCCTTCAGCTGGGGGAGGTCATGCCTGAACTGAATTTCCAGGGTGATCTTGGGCTTGCACTCTGCTCTCACTTCAAGACGGGCACTTTTGCCTTCTGTTTCCAGCACAGAGAGAAGCTCTGCTTGGCACTTGTCCCTCTGAATGGATCCTGTGAGCCGTGACTGAGTTGGGAAGCTGAGATCCTATTGAGATTTAAAAACAAGAGTTCCTTTGGAATGTACAAACACTTCCATACAGGTGTATTTTAAGACTTCTTTCTTCTCCCTTTAGCCTAAATAAGGCCTGAGGAAAGATATTGGGAGTGTCCTGCAGAGTTTACAACTTCTGTATCTTTACAAAATTTCTCATTTACGAAACGCAAAATGCCTCTTTTTTCGGACTGGCAAAGTCTACTGAACATTCTCTGCTTCATTCAGACCAGACGACTCTCAATTTTTAAATTAACCCACAAAAAATAATAGGCCTAACAGACATTCTTGCACCTGGTGGTACAAGGATTTTATACTTTTTACTATTAAAACTTCAAGCTTGTCTTGTGCAGCATCCCCAGTGAAATGGATTTGCAAAACCACAGAAAATTCTGCTATTTTTAATACTTTAAGAGGTTTTCATTCCCTCTTCACTATGGATAATACTCTCCTGTCACTTTTGTTTTTATGTTCCTACTTTGTAGTTGAGGAAGTTACTCAATTTGGGGATTTGAAAGGAAAACATAAATGCTTATGAAGACCTAGAAAAAAAAACCATTTTGCAAGAGTCATTCTTTTTAATGCACTCAGTGAGACTACGTGGAAAAACCAAGGAAATGTCACAACTTTTACTTTGATATAAACAGGCAGACCAGGGAATATATTTTTGACAATGCTGCTGTTGAGCCTTAGAGGGCAGTCTCGGTCTGTGAAGGCAACAGACAGCAAAGACTGAACTGATGTCAGTCTGCAGACACCACCTGTGACCAGGATATGCGAGACACTTCCCTGGCCTTGTGCTGTAAGACAGGTGTACTTTAGAGTGCCTTTCCAACACTCGAGAAGTTATTTTAGCTAAAACCTTATACGATCTGCATTTGATCCCAAAAATCTCCATAAAAGCCTCCAAGAGCTACCTGCAGAAGTTGACATTCTGATTCTGTTTCCAGTGTCCATTCAGCTTTATTCTGAATAGAGAGATCTCCTCTAGCCTTCAGTCTGCAAGTGCCAGCCTGCAGCAACAAAATGCCCTCTGTGGCAGAGTCTGTGGCTGCAGAGAACAAGACAGAGTTTTCCAAAGGTAGCCCAAGCTGACTGAGCCAGGGCAGCGAGTGCCTGAGCATCCCTTGGAGTGCATATTCCTGTTGGCAGGAAGTGTCTATCTGCACATCAGCTGTTCTACCATCGCACTGGAGGTTCATTAACAAGCCCATGTTGCAGATGTTCTGTTGAAATGAGCCCCCAAAGACCACAGCATGAGGCAATCCCATCTCCTGCAACAGAAAAGATTATACAATTTAAAACACACAAGGTAAAGCAATTGGCTTCCCAATTTGTTCCTAATTCATGAGGAAGCATTTCTTCTTTCTGAAACAATCTGCTTTTGGAGAGGACCATACAAGACAGCTTGTTTCATAGAGAAATCAGAAATTTGTCAGTGAAAAAACTGAAATAAAATAAATGGGGGGGGGGGGGGGGGGAAGGAATAAATCCTACAATAACCTTCTCGTAAGTAATATAGAAGAAAAAAATCTTAACTCCCAAAATACCTCCACAATTTCAACCAGAAAGGACATGCTTTTCACTGGACTTTAGGACATAAGTGTATTTTAATTAAAAAGCTATTATTAAACAACTCTTTTATGGCAACAGCATTGCATTACTCCAAATTCCCATCTTCAAATGCACTTTCCCTTGTGAATGCTCTGACTCATTTCTCTGCCAAAGCAACTTTAATGACCAAAATTGTCCTGTGCATAAATAACGGTGTCAGGAGAGAGTTCTCTGAGACTCATGATCTGAACTCACAGACTACAGGCCATGCAGAAAACAATCTGGGCTTACCTCTAGACTGACACACTTGTTTCTGACAGTAAGTACCCACTCTGTTTCATTGCTGGCCAGGCTCACTTCTCCATCAGCTTTCAAACTGCAAGGCCCAAGGACAATACCAAGGATGCCCTTATACTTGTCACTTCTCAGGGCTGACACCTTCACTTGGTTCTCTCTGGCAATCCCCAGAGAATGAAGTGAAGGCAAAGAGTGCTGGAAATCGATTTCCAGATGAGGCTGGATGTTGGCAGTGGCGTGGAGCTGCAGGCAGGCAAACAGGTCATGAAAGGAAACAAGTCCAAAGAAGATGACAGTAAAGTTGCTGGTAAACATTGACCCATTCAGTGAAACTCTTGCTGGAGTCTGAAAAGTTGCAGAAAAAACTGTTGTCAAGTTTGCTTTCCTGTCAGGCCACATACTGGTTTTAAATGTTCATGTTACTAGAAGAGAATTATTTCCCTACACCATTTTGTGTTCATCCTACATGTTTATAAATGCCTAAACAAATGGAGACATGGTCTAAAATCTTTCAACTTCCATAGTAGAAATAAGAGGAGAAAAAAAACCCAAATCCATAACTCTTAAAACACTTACTAACACCAGATAAATAAACGGTTATTGCTTTTACTATCATCGCTTCTGGTTTTTACAACAGTAAATAGAGCTCTAGCACTGTAATATTTTGTTACATTCCTGTCAGACATCAGCAGGAACAACAAGTGTTATGCACATTGTACCCATGTTACATGAGGGATTAACTGAAGTGCATTTGTCTTTTTTTTGGCTTTAGAACACACACACAGGAATCAGACTCTCTGCGATTACTGTCTTTATGGAGAAAAATGCAATCTCCTGTGATGTCACTCACAGAAGATGCTTTTAACACATTCTTAATACATCCCCTTATCAGGTATACCTTTGTCAAACAGTTCAAGAGCCACAGGGATTTTCACAAACAAATAGTTAGCTGGAAAGAGCAGAAAATAGAATAAAGAATAAACTGAAATTCTCAGCCTGTGCCCCACATGCTCCCTTGCCCAGTTCCTCTATCAAGTTGGCTGCTCAGTAATAAGACAGGGCCATTTACACCCAGTTCAATTCTGACTGGCAGAAGATACAGTTTGGAGACTTGAGCTAAAACAGTTTCTGAGGGAGAAGTAGCCTGTTTGAATCTGAATGTTACAGGAGCGAAAATATCTGAAGTGCATGCAAAACCTCCAGCCAGGTCAAACCCATTTCTTCATGTGTGACACCTTCGAGTACTTGGAGTCCCTTAGTGGAGGTTAAGACAGGGTGTTGTTGACAGCAGAGTTTATAAATGAAGCCAGTACCTCAAACTGGTGAAATGCAATTGCACCATTGCAAAGGCCAGAGAGTTGTTTGTTGGCAGATTCTCCACTGCAAGCAACCTGTTGGCATTATAAACAAAGCACTTTGAGAGCATGAAGGAGAGAGGACTTAAATTCAAAGGAGGGAGCTACAAGGTTAAAGGATAAAACAGATGAAGATACCAAAATATAGCTTTAAGATTAAATGTGAGAGTTCAGTTTCAAAAAGGAAAACAGTTTAGTAGATCTGAGGCTATATCATGTCATCAAAATAACTGTGCATTATTATGCCCAAATATTATCAGCACAGGTAAAGACAGAATAATATCTTCAAATAGTAGGATGGAAAAGCTGTGACTGCAAGTTATTGGGCTGGGCAAACACCTACTCCAGTTCCATGACAGAAATGTTTTCCTACCCACCACATCTTGAAAAACCTGCTCTTTATTGCTAAGCAAACAATTTTTAGGTTTTCTCTACTGGCTGCTGGCCTCGTTTGACAGAAATCTCTCTTCTCTCTGACCTGCCAGCTTGCTCTCCAGGGTACACCTGAACAGCTGAGATGTGAGGCATTCAAATACACGACACCAAATACATCACAATATATGGCAGGATTTCTGCAAACCTCTAGTACATGTGGAACAATGTCCATCAGTCCTCCCACATCATGGTGAAGCGAAAGCGAAATTTCCACAGCACTGCCAGTGGTTTCCTTCTCTATTTCAATTTTGAGCTGTTCCTTCTCCACTGTGGTTGTTATCCCTGCAGCAATCTTTGTGGTGAAATTCTATGCACAAAAGAAACCAAACTATGGAAAGAAACAAACAACAACTTCCCAGCAACAGCTGGCAAAGACAGAGTCTGTTTGTCTACAGCAGAAATGCAGACAGAACAATGGCTAAGCAATCCTGTACCAGGAGTCATGGTCCATGATGCTTCTGTGGGTAGCAATTTCCAAAATGGAAAGCCATGCCAAACACTCTCCTGCTCTCTAGCAGACATCCAAAGGATGACATCAGAACTAGCTCAGTCCAGGCCCAGATGCAATGCAGCACCTTGGCTCACTGACACCTGATGGCTCCATACCTTAGGCCTGCTGGTTCCCTTCCCATTTATAGAGGAAAAACACAATTGGACATCTGTTCATGTGTAGAAAAGCACTTCACTTAAATGAGAACTGAATGTAGCATCTCATTTAGCCTAAAGTCAGCTCCAAGACTTCAAATGGCAAGTACACAGCATGACAAGAAGCCAGAAAACACCTTTCTTTCACACAGTCATTCAGTACCTCTCAAAAATGCAGCAGCTTTTAAAATAAATATATATAGTGCCAAGGCAAAGCCTGCAGTTATTAGAAATTGTTCTGCCAAAAAATTAAATAATCACAGGCAGAACTCTTCTTACCTCATAATAGCCAGCAGCTTCTACAGTAAAAGGGATCCCACGTTCCTTCATCTTTGAGATGTTGTGCTTTAAGCTCACAGAGAGCTGGGATTTAGAAGGCTCTGTGGCCAGGCTGTGCCCTCCAAACACAGCAGTAATCCCTTCCCTGCCACTCTGCAGGGCTACAGCAAGGCTGTGATTTCCTGGGCCACGCTCACACGTCGCAGTGAGAGTGCCATCCCACGGCAATCCTACGGACAGGGGAGGAAGCAAAATCCACACAACACTTCTGGGTTGTCATTATAAAACACAGAGAAAGATGTATTACAGATCAAAAGAACCTTTCTACAGCTTTTCATAAGAAAAGACACACCTTTATATAAAGTGTGATCACCCCGTTAGCTCCACTTACTGATATTTATGGAAAGACATTACGCACCATGTGAAAATGATATTGAAAAGGGGTTGCTAAATTAAAATGTGGCATGCGCTAAGGAAGTCAAAGTTTTCCTTTCTTAATAAAGGATATTTACCAGGGGGTAGTGTGTCTAACTCCAGTAGTCAGCTGTTAAAAAGTTTCAGAATGGATTTATTCAGTCCAAAGGGACAAAGGCAATTTACCCATTCAAATTACTGATAACTCCAGCTCAAGAAAACCCATGGCTTTGCTTAGAAAGCAACACTTGGCATAAAACACTTGGAGGAACTGATCAGCTTGCAGTAATACAAGAGAGAAATAATTTACTCTGAAGTACTTTAAAACTGTTTGAGCTAGTTCTGTGTCCATTTAATTGTATTTTCTCAACAATATTAAAAAGAATGTTGCTAAGTCTGGATCACATGTTGTTCTGGTGTGAGCAAAAGCAACTCATCTATTTCCACTGGTCTGCAGTCATGTAAATAAATTCACCACGACACCTTGTCACACCACGCAATCAAGTCAGAGTTTACCTGCATTTTTTAAGAAGTCGATATTATGTGTGAAAGTCCCACTGACTCTGCTGTGCCCATGACTCATGAGATTGAAAAAATCTACAGAAAGAGCCTTCTCATCCACCTGGAAGCTGGCTAGCCCCCTCTTCATCTCTTTACTCAGCTCCAGGTGCCCTTTCAGTCTTGCCTCCACTGGGATTGCCAGACTGCCATTCTGGTACATGGCAACAGTGATGTTGTGTACAGTGACATTCCCAAACACATTCCTGTTCCTGAGATGGAGTCCATACAGTGTTTTGTTGACCATCACATTGATGTTACCTGTAACAGGCAGAAATTATTACTGTGGAGAGAGTCCTCTGGGACAGAAACAACCACAGTTCTAGAAGCAATATAAAAAAATAATCATTAGTTTAATACCAGGAGGAAGCAGATGAATTTCCATTTATTATAACAGATAATTTCACCTAATCTGGAGAGCAAATCAGTTTATTCTCGAGAGTTTCCCTACCAGTAGAAGTGTCTGTGGTTAAAACAAATCACATAATATTATTTCTAGCAGCTGTTTCTCTTTATTGACCAAGTTGCTTGTGCCTTTAGGGCTACACTGCACTGCCTTCTGAAGGAAAATTTACAGAGGGACTGTGACCCACTGCTTGTGTAACTCCAGGCTAAACAATCCCTCTAGAGCTCTGCAGTGACCTACTCCACTCATGGAGCCATTCAGAGGAGTGAGAGCCTCAAGTCAGGCCCCCCATTTCAGAAGACCTGCAGAGGAAAGAAACCACCCCTCATTTTGCCCCAGAGCTTGCTGCATTATGCAGTTCAGTGAGGAATACATTAAAATTAAGAAGCTTCCTTAGATAGCTGCAGAACAGCAACAAAACACAAAGGAGACGAGTACCATCATGAGTGTTGTTTTTGCACTTCAGTAATCCATTCAGAGAAAGAAGATGAGGTATGGCCTTTAATCCAGCAAATGTGTGTTGGACTCTTCCATTTAGGGACAAAGCAAAACCAGCTTTCTGTTCCCTGGCTCCCATGAAATCCACACGAAGCCTATTTTCATTAAGCTTCAACTCAGAAGATATCAGAAGTCTAAAAAGGCAGAGATAAAAATTGCTAGTAAGATATGATTATGCTCAATTTATGATGGTCAAGGCACCCCTCCTCTCAGTCAAAGCAGGATCAATGAGGGCAGGGTGCTCAGGAGTGTGTGTGGCCAGGTTTGGGGTTATCTCCAACCACAGTGAACACTCTTCAGTTCCTCAGTTAACCAAAACTCTGATTCCTCTACCTTGATGGAAACATTTTGCCCATGAGCTGCAGCTGTATCGATTCTGGGTTTGCCAGGATTGTCTGATGGAGAAAAGCCCTCAGTGCAACAGCTCTGCCCTTCCTCCTGTTTTCATTGTTCACATCGACCTCCAGCATCAGCATGTCCCTTCCACTGGAGTGAAGGTGAAGAGAGCCATTGAAGTTTCTCTCCCCATAACGCCTCAGGGCTGCCTGGGCCTGCACACAGAGAAAAAGAAAAGCAGGACATTAAGGATCTCAAATACAGCCCAGAATACTGAAACATCAGTTTGAGCAACAAGACTGCAGACAACAAGCTGGGACTGGGAGAAAGCAGGGAGGGGAGCAGAGGGGAAAATGAGTTTAGAGGTTTCATCTCTGTGTCTCACCATCTAACTCTAATTTTATTTGGCAATAAACTAAATTAATATTGCCCAAGTTGAGTTTGTTTTGTCTGTGTAGATAATGGGTAAGTGATTTCCCTGTCTTTATCTCAACCATGTCACCATGCTAAAGCTTTCAACAAAAAAATTGTGAAGTACATTGAATTTTGAGTACAATTTAACTGAACTTTGAGGGTTTTCTGAATTTCAGCCAAAACACAAGCCACCTATTCCAACCACAGGTACCCATCTAGCCAGAACAAACTGTAACCATCAAAAGTTAATCACTTCCCTAACAATTTACCTCTCCACTGTACTCACTGAGTTCCCTGAGTTGACCAGCTGTGTAGTACACACATAGGTTTGTGTTCCCATGCTTGAAAAGCAGTTGCTAAGCAGTTGCTAGCAAGAAGTGTAACAGCTCTCAGGATGTGTTTCATGTGTTCCCAGTGCATGTGAGCAGAGACTCAACACAGCTCTGAGTGCATGGACTGCAAGAGCTTCAAGGTTCAAGCACCAAGGCTGTAAATCCAGGGCACTGACCTGTGAAGACACGTTCTTGTTGATGGTGGCTTTCACACTCACACCACAGTCAAAGTGTGCCAGTTTATTCTGCCTGGAAAACAGCTCCCCACTCAGGCCCATTGCCTGTGGAAACTCCAGCTGTTTGACAAAGTACAATGTCAGAACAGAATGCTGCATTCCCACCAACTGCTTCACGTGAATTAATGTCTGAACTCCCAGCACTAAGAGGAGGATGCACATAAGCAAATGTTTGTATAAAATTTTACCAGTTTTATCCAAAGGTACTTAAAAATAAATCAAATGCAGTAAAAAAAGTATGAACACAGAAGGTCAGTGGGTTTCTTACAAGATATTATTGATACAGACTATAATTTAACCTACTGAGGTACTTAGGGTCTTTGGCAGGGCCAGCATTCGATTGGACTAGGACGTTTACCAGCATCAAACTATTAAAATATTAAAGGTAACACAGTAAAACAGTCACCAAGATATAAAAAATAGAATACCAGAAGTGAAAATCACAAATACCTGGAATGAATGGGTCACATCCATGTGCAAAATATGCCTAAAATCAGCCTCGCTGGATTTGTTCTGATACCTCCCTAGAAAGCTGAGAACATCTTCCTTATTCACCTTCAAGACAGTCTCAAATTCATTCTTCACCTACGTGTTAAGAATAGAAATAAGGGAACTGCACTGACTTTTAACCCTGAATATTATGAAAGATTAGAGGGTCATCCCTCCACATCATGAAAAATCAGAGTTGTGAGGTATTACATTGTGGCTCAGAATGAAAAACAAGAAAAGCAAGAAAAAAACAACTGTATTTGGTAAGAAAGGTGAAGAGGTACAGCTAAGTAAGAGTGAGAACCCTGAATTCATTCTATCCCAGTACTTGTTATTGAAAACATTCATGTCTAACAATATTCTAAAAATAATATATTAAGTATTCTTATCATATATTACTATGCAACATATTATTATACAAAATTAAGGAGGTCCCAAGCACACAATCACCCTCTGAACATTTTGGATGCAGAAGTTATGTGGTGAGGAACTAAAGACCTATAGCAAGTTAAGTCTGAAAAGACAATAAAGTGTAAATAAACAGATAATTAATCTCTCCTTCTACTGAATTTAATGGGAAATTTACTCACATTTTGATGACTTAGAGTTAAAATGCATATTTCAATGTCTTTGGGGAACAGCTTGTGGTTATAAGGATGAGTTAGGCCAGCACAAATCTAAAAAAAAATTTGAGAGGAAAGGCAGGAACATAAAATACCTGCAGTAAATCACTAATTTGCTGAATTTGTTGGTATGTCAAACTGAAGGAAATTCTTAGAAAACTCACATAGGGGTTTTCAGGTTGGTAACCAAGTATAAGAGTTTGAACTGTTTCCTCAGCCTCATTTATCAGAACCTTTGTTTCCATGAAATAGTGCCTTTGCTTCTTGTCAACGGTAAAAGTCTCCTGCAGAAGGAAGCTCTGCAGAAAGGGCACTTTAAAGGGATGCCTGGAAAAAACAAGGAATAAACAAAGTGCAAAAAGATCTTAATAGAAAACTACAAAAAGAAATCATGCAGAATTCAACTTGAACTCCAAGATTTTCAGTTGCAGATACAGCAGGGTGTCAGGTGCAGAAGCAAAACACATAAACACAGGACCTTTAAGAAACTAAAGAGCACCATTACAGCCTCATACAAACTATCAGAAATTCTGGTGCGTCTAAAGAGTTCCCATCCTGGATTTGGAAAAGGCTTGGAAAGGGTGATGCTCTAAAATTCTGACATGCACAACCAGCACATACACTTCATATACCTGCATGGCCAAGACTTCATTTCAAATGTGGACAGTGTCCAAAAGCTTATGGCAGGTTTGAAAATCTCACTCTCCACATTTTGTGCTTTCTGTAGAAACAGTATCTGCATGCCAAGAATCCTGTGCAACAGATGTTCAACCACTACTTAGCTCTTGGAGTAGTTTACTACTTCAGTGTAATATTTATGGACTTCAGTAAATGTTTCTGCACATTTACTCAGTCAGATATCTTGGAAACATGCAAGAACTTTCATAAGCAGATGCTGGACTGCCTTTATACGTGCCAGGATATCTGGTACAGCTCTTCATTCTTCATTTAGGTACTTTTTTTACTTAAAGGATGCCTGGCAGGTTTTTAGCTACCTCCAAGCTGCACAGTGCAGCTAAGGCAGCCTGTGCACTCCTGTGGTCCTGCTGTGCCTCAGGAAAGCTGAGGTGTCCCCAGAGATGGTTCAGATGCCTCAAATCTGAGCATACATTTTTCCCAAGGCCTTCAAGCTGTGTTTTGATAATGGGTAATGAAGAGAGAAATTTCAGGGACAGCCAGTATCTAGCAGTGCACTCATTCTCATTAGAAAATGGAAACATTCCAAAATCTAAACAAGACCATTTGTTACATGTTTTAAGAGGATATCTTTGGCTTTAGAATGGCTATATTATTCCCAAGGACTAGGAAAAAGGCATCTGGATGGCACAGAAATCAGATCTGGATTTTGGAACTTCTCACCATTTCCAAGTTTGGACACACCACAAATCCTGCTACTTTCCTGAAAGGAGGCTCTAAACCTGACTGAGTTGCCAACAAGCATGTCACAGCACAAGTGACCTGTTACCTTTGACAGCTTTGTTTGCTGTCACTTCAGGAAAGAGGGCAAGAGCCTATGGATGCAAATAACCACCCCATGAAGTTGCTGTGCTTGAGCAAGTCCAGAGACCTAGGTGGGACAAAGCACAGGCTCTGTGCAGGTGGCACTTTCACCTTGTAAAACCCAGAACATTTCCCAAGAGCATCAAGATGCATGTTACACTTAGGCCAAAACATTCTGAAATAATAAGGCAACTGAACCTGAAATGGAGGGTTCCACGTTTTTGATAGAGCATCTTCTCCTTCTTCAGCTCCTCTATCTGACCTTCCAACTGCAGTGTGACAGGCAGACTCTTGTAATCTCTCCACACAACCTTCACAGAAAGGTTTGTCTTCTTCGGCTGCACTCAAATCACAAGACCAGAAGAATAAAGGACAATTGCATCAGATTTACTGCATTCATGTTCAGGAACATCCATCTAGAAGCCATAGTGCTCAACAGGCTGCAGCAAGGCAGTCATTTCAGAGATCAGTCCCTTTGTGTCTCACACAAATCCAGACCTCCATTTACACAGGATTAAAAGTGACATTAGGAGAAAACTGACTTCAGCAGAGGAAAAACGCCCCATAATGCATCACTTGAGTGTCACCTATTTGCAACATGAGAGAGCTCTGGTACATGGTCATACAAAAACTAACTGGATTTTCAATGCTATATCTAAAAAAGTGTTTGTGGTTTTAAGACTTCCTGCAAGGAACAGACGGACCAAAGCAACTCAAAGTGTCCCTTTCAAGGAGAAACTGCTGGTTACCCTTCCTGTGCCACAGACATCAAGCAAAGCGAAAATTATTTTAAGACTGGAAGGGATGTAGAGCCTAAAATAGCCCATAAACCCTGGTTTACCATGATCACTTAAGAGGCAAGAGATTCTAATTCTCCAAGACAGTAGAATCATCCACGCCTGTCATACATCTGCATCAAATAGTAACTAATCACATCTACAGCTCTTTTCTAGTTGGGTAGTCTCTCTTTGTCCCTCCTCCCTGACTTTGTCTGTAGCTGGACTCCCAAATAGGTGAGAAGCACTCCAAATTGCACGACACAAGTTTTTGTTTGTTTTCTCTTTAAACCTAATTTTACACTGCAGCCTTTCAAAACAGACAGAAATAGATGTAGCACGAGAAGTGTTTAAGTTTCAACACTAACAATAACATCTCTCAGGAAGGTGGCAGACCTAAAAAACACTGAGTTAAAAAAATTGCATTTGTTTTTCTTTCTTACCATTGGCAGATTCTGATAGCTGGCTGTGAAGTTAAATTCCTGTTTTGTACTCGTTATCAGAAAGCAGAGAAGTTTGGCTCTTTCATTATTCTCCAAATGAATCTCATTCTTCACGAGCTGGTTCCACAGAGAGATCATTTCACCATAGCTATGCAGAACATTCCTCCCGAGACGATTAAAGGTGGATGCCTGAAAAACAAAGACATTAGTCTGGCTTAGCCAGGACAGACAGCATTCCATTGTGCCAGTAGCACAGAGGTGAAAGAGTGACCATTGCAAGAACTATTAGAAATGTGTGCCAGCTTTTCCATTATGAAAGTATTCTGAATTGTCATAAAGATCTCCAAGTTTATTTTACCCTCGCTAAGCAAGGGAGAGAAAAAAAAGCTCTCCAGGAAGAGGAGAGTTACATTCTTCTCAGGCAGAGGATGCCTTTAAATCTAGTGTCTCAAGATTAGTGAATTTAGGTAATCACTGGGCTGTTAATTTAGAAGTTTGTCTATTGTTCCTATTTTTTAAAGAAAAGACACTCTCAGCTGTTTCATATCAGTAAGGGTAAGTTTTAAACATTTTTTACAATGATGATCCAATTTTCCAACTTCTTGAAATTGTTAGCTCATGGAAGGGATGGAGGTAAGAACTTTAAAACAGTAATACTATTTGCACACTCCTAGGCAGAATTCTGCCCTCCTGTTTTGGGCTTTGTGCAGGGAGCAGTGGATACCCATTCCAAAGAGGGCCAGAGCTGATGGTCCTGACATTTTTTCAAAGCTAATACAGAGCCCCAGCTGTGCTGATTTGACAGCCCTGGAGAAGAACAGCTCATCATTCAAGCACAGAAAACAGATGAACACAAGCATTTTGAGATCCCCTTTTATAAGCTGGCACACAGTGCGCGAGTTTCTCAAACAAGCACTTCACAGAGCACCCTGAGCAAGTGCTCCTGCAGTGAGCTGACAGTCCCAGAGCTGTCACAGAGCCCTCTCATCAAAGCCATGACCCAGATGGGCATGTTACCAACCTGCAGGTATGTGGTAGCTGGTGTGTAAATGTGAACTTTCCCTTCCTTTTCGTTGCCTTGATCTTTATAGAACAGTTCCACTATGAGGTTCTTAATGGAGAGAACTTTTCCAGTTGTCAGCTCCGTGGTCAGTAAATAAGCAGAATTCTGAGGCTGATGTAGTTTGTGAGCTGCATGCAGATACAGCCAC